TTATTTTAACATTTTATTTATTTTACATAATTCGTTTTTTATTTATTTAAAATTTATTATTTCTATTAATTACAAGTAAATGCATTAAATGGATGTTTTAAATTGATTTTAATGTAAAATAAATATTATTGCTTAGGTGGATGCTTAGGTGGACACCTTAGATGGAGAGAAGACTCTCTAATTATATATATAGATTTTTTAATGAACAGAAAACAACTCATACTTAGTCCTGCCCTAAATGCATACATATATGGTAAGATAGCTATGACAATTTTAATGCAATAATAATTCACAGATTATTGGACATGATATATATATATATATATATATATATATATATATATATATATTTTAAGAAACTTCCATTAATATTAAAAGGTTACAGAGAGGAAACGAAAACAAACAGAATACAGCTTACAGACCTTACCTACTTACCTAACTAAGGTTGAAAAATTTCAAACCAAGTAGATAGAAGAGAGACGGAGTCGGAACGCTGCGCCCTAGAAAGAGGGTCTAGCTTACACCTGAGAGAGCTCTGAATGTCCAGGATCAAGCTTGTCGGGGGACGAGAAGACTGAGAGTGAAGTCTAGAATTTCTTTCCTTCCAAATCGAGTATATTGAAGCTTGGAAGATAATCTTGAGGATCAGAGAAGTGTTTTTGTTGCGGCAAGGGTCTTTCATCCATCTAAGACCATGTTCCAAAAGAATTGGAGGAGAAACATGGGCTCTAGATGTGAAAAAAGACCAAACCTCATTAGAAAAAACACAATCGAAGAAGAAATGTTGAAGAGTCTCATCAAAGGAGCTGCAGAGGAGGCAATTTGCTGGGACATTAAGTCCCCACCGGATGAGTCTATCACGGGTATGTAGTCTTTGACGAGCTACCACCCATGTGATGAAGGAATGTTTAGGAATGCTACCTTGAAACCAAACCGACTCGTGCCAAGAAACCGGTGGACCAGGAGGATTAAGATAATGCCAAGTAGAGGATGCAGAGAATTTAGCAGATGGAGGAGAATCACCAATTCTCCACAGAATTCTGTCATCTTCCCTTGAGGGATCAATAATATCAACAGAGGGAAGGCACTGCTTCAAAAGAGAGATGGTGGAATTTCTGGATCTGCTCCTAGTTAACCACCACGACCCATCTTGAATTGCGTCCAGTACAACAGCATTCATAGGAAGGCCAGAAATACGAGGACCAGAATCCCCAGTTATTTCCAGCAAAGGGCCAAGAGAAGTCCAATCGTCCTTCCAAAAGCTACAAGTAATACCTGTACCAATCTCACAAAATATAAACGGACGAGCCAGAGGACGCAATTTGCATAGGTTTCTCCAAATCCAACTCCCAGCAACCGAAGAATCCAAATCCCAAAAATTTGAGGAGCCAGATTTATTTATTAAAGACATGATATATTTATTAAGTGTGCTTTAAAATGAATCCAGATTAATCATGAAGATGATCGAACGATTGTGTATTGGTGAATGATTATTAGTTATGAGTATCACTTTCTGAATTATGATATTCTTTGAACTATGTTATCATATTCTTTTCATACAGTGCTTTACACCCTTTACTTTATCCATATTTATTTCAATAATTGTAATTAGTGGATACAATCATTCAATAATTCATTTAATTGATTAAAGTTTTCTATTGTTATGTAGTTTTTTGTTTATAAGTTTCTCAACTCTTCCAAAGTAGCATCCATTGCTTTTCTAAATTTGAATATTCCGAGCAAAAAATCATGGAATAAACGAATGTACTACTAATTTCACGCCAAGAAAATGAACTCTATAAATGCCATGAATTATGAGTCATTTATTAGAAATTTCTAATAAGTCTAACTAGAAACGTTTGCAATTTCGAGTCCATACAGATTTGTCCAAGTATTGGACCAGATAAACCAATTAGAAAAATAAAAAATATGAATTATGATCCGTATGCAGTATGCACTAACCGTAGATTTATGGAAAACGAATTAAAGACTTAAACAGAGGTCACAGACTTTGTAATGACTTATGTGCTGTCTTTTTCTGTCACTGAATGTCTTAATCCAAAGTAGTATTAATTAGTAGTAGACCATTTAAAAGCCTTTCCACCATTAAATAGAACAAACATTTCATGTGTTCTTCAACTATTGATAGTTGATAGTTGCAACAACACATGTCTAATGTTTAATATGGTTATGCTACAGCCACAACTTTACTATTTTACTTTTGAATGATTGCATCTACATATAAAAATAGGTATTGATTTTTTTCTTTCTTAACTTAAACAATAAATAATCTGATCAATGAAGTTTCATATCAAAATTAAATCTCACTCTAGAATCGAACAGAGAAGATAAGATCTGAAGCCACGGTGATTGTTGAAAGCTTCTCGTTAAATCGCTTTTCTTGGTTCAACTCTCTAATACATCGGTTCGTTCTGATCATTAGTTTGAGTGGAAAAGTCTATGAACCGGACTATGCCTTCCAAAAAGAAACCAAACCCAACAACTATTAGTATGAGATATTACTATAACTTTTTAAACAAGGACATATTTGACGTAAACCAAACCAGACAGAAATTTTCATTTCTTGTGAGCTTCCAAATCAGACATTAGCTTAGCCGGTTTAGCCTTTTTCTGTCGGTACTTGGCGTATGAGTACCACACACCACCAGCTGTGTTGACCACTAAACCGGACACGTTCAAAGCATGTACTTCAACACCACCCAAGAGGACAAAACCGAGCGTCTAGGAGATAAAAAAGGAAGCAAAGATTAGTAAATGATTGCCTCTCCAAACAGAGCCAAATGAGGGAGGGTTTATACTTACAGTGGAACCAACGCCTTTGAGAACACCAACGATGGTTGTTGTTAGTGCAGAGTTCACAATGGTGCAAAGAAACATGGTGAAGTTGAGGACAATGCCCATAACCAGTGAAAGCACGAGAATCACCAAGAACGGCAAATAAGAACACTGTAGAAGAGAAAAAATAGTTTGACCTTTTAAGAGAATAGTGTCCGAGCAAAGCTTAGAATGATGAAGTTTCTAACCTTTGCAAGTAATAGTGATAGAGAGTTTGGAAATTCCCCGGTAACTATGATGAGGAAGGACAAAAATGGGAGGGAAAGGAAGCTGTTATAGAACATTATTTCGATAGAGGAAAGCCCGTCTTCTGCACCAGACTTCTCCACCAGCACAAGGTACATGGTCTGCAGCAATGAAGAGAAAACAATATTCATTTACTCGTATGGTTAACGGGAGACTGATTCAAGAGAAGGAAAAGAACAAATGAAACCAACCTGGAAAAAGACAGATGTTAAAGCCAAACCATACCCGAAAAGATCAAAAGAAAAATCACCAAGAGCTGCAATTACACAACCTGCAGCCGTCAGTAGTACAGATAGAGCAACCTGAAATTTAAACAAGAGATTCAGAGCTAGAAACATTAGACAAATTCACAATAAAAAAGATCAACATTATAATGGTAACTACCTGAGTTGTTGGTTTGCCTTTACCAAACAAAACCCCAGCAATCAAAACAGCAAGTGGAGTGAGTCTCTTAATGGCGATATACATTGGAATATTGACTCCTTTCAAGCTTGCAAGAGCAAATGCAACATTAGCATTGTAGAAGATGGACACCGGAAGAAGCTTTTTTGCAGTAGCCAAATCGATTCCTTTAGCTCTTGTGTATCCCATTCGTCTACCAAAGTGTATAAGCAAAGAAGTCGCCAATTGCTAATACAGAGCAAAGGGGACCAAATTCATAATCAGCATTTTCAGGAAGTGAATAATCTCTGTAGATATCTAGTTCTTGAGAATTTTGGATATCAGTACCTGAAGGGTAAGAAGAGTCATTGAATGTGGATACTGCATAATCACAGCTTTGTTGATAAAAACCATTGCCATTGAAGCAATGCCATACGAAACAGCTGCGACTAAACTGCATCATAGAACAAACCAGTAAATAAGCTTTACTTGGATGTCTATACAGGAGGAGCTTTGATTCTCTATAACTCTCTAGAGATCCAGATCTACCCAGATGAAGAACCGCAATTCAAAGTTTCCAAAATCAAAACTTTAAGAAGCACTTGAATCCATTGAACCAATAATTATTACCCATACGTCCTAAATCGATCAATAACAACATCCCAGGAACAAAATCAAAAATTTTGAAGAAGGAGAGTAGAGTAGAGAGTACCTAATGGACGAGCTAGGCTCCATTTCAGCTTGAACCTCCATGGGAAAGCAGAGTAATAGGAGATATAAATCTGTGGAATATACAGTATTGGTGGATTCAACGTGAAATCAAAGAAATCTGTAAAATTAACAGGCGGATTCAACGTGATTCAAGACGCATTTCGAGAGGAAAAAGCGTTTATTAGATTTTCATTTCAAATTTACAGTTTCTTTCTCTTCTTTTTTTTTCCTTGGATTGAGGATCTTACTTCTGAAGCGAGGTTCGAACTTTTCTTCCAGTGGATTATTGAACTGGACGAAACAGTAGTAAGTCAACACTCAAAAGTCATTAACCTTCTGGTCTTAACAGGAAGGTCTTACTGTCCATTAATAAAACTGCCTTGCCTGCGTCTTAGCATCTCAAATCGTTAGGCCCAAAAGGCCCAAAGGCTTCTGTTTTCACTTAAAACCTAATTTTTAAATAGCGAAATTAAAAAAAGTCCCTAATTATTTTGATGATGAAGATTTTCATTTCATGGCTCATCAAAAATCAACAAAAAATTGTACAAGGGTCACTTTATCAAAACCTATTCTACTATAGAGTCTAGTCCCTTGTCAACAACATAGATGATGGACAATTACTATGGTGTAATAATAACCAACGTGAAAGATTCACATCAATTTTTTTGATGATGGGTACACATACTCCATTAACCAATGTGAAAGATTCACGTCAACTTTTTCGGTTTTAATAGATTCGGTTTAACTTTTGTAACGTAATTTATAAGAAAAGAAAAGGTCATCATTTTCTAGGAAGAAGTAAGAAGTGAAGATAAAACAGAGTTTCATTGCTCTCTTTTTTTTCTCTCACTCTCTGCCCTGAAATTTTCTCTTGAGATTTTTGAAGTGTATTCTACAATGGAAGATCCACCACATTTCTCTCTGTTTCAGCACAAATTTCAAACCGGAGACAAACCACTTCTCGTAACTGTTTCTCCTTTTTTAATCTTCTGTTAAGTTACTGTCTTTGCCATCGTCAAGAACTAATTCTTTCTTTTTGTTTTGTTTTGCAGACTCTTGATGCTGACTTCTTAATGAATCACACGAAAGTCTTGCTAAAATCGGATGCGTCAGACAGACCTCGGAAAGTGAAATTGGACGGCGGCAGGCTCTCCGACGGCTGGGAAGAGTTCGCCGGCGACCATAAATTCAAAGACGGTGACGTTTTGGTTTTCAAACATCATGGAGACGAGGTCTTTCATGTATCTGTTTCCGGCGACATACAGAACGCATCTTCTAGCCACGTTGATACTGAGGATACTTACATTGATGATGAGGATCTTGATGTTGATGATGATGATGATGTTGATGATGATGAGGGCGAGGATAATTTAGGTAAGGTGTTTGATGAAGTTACATAATGTATATCTGTTTTGATTTACCATAATTGGTATGTTAGTGACTTATGTAAGTGAAGATTGTTGTGATTCAGAGAACATATTGGAAAAGACAAATAAAAAACAAGAAGCAGATTCTTCATCAGAACACCCTGGTTTCATCACAGCATGTGTCACTCGTTACAGCCTCCTTCATGATCGTTTGGTGACTAACTTAAACTCCATTTTAGCTTTGTTGTAACATTCATGAGTATAATAATATTGTTGAGTGATGTGACCTGTTGATGTTGTTTTGGCAGGATCTTTCTAGAAATTTTACGTTGTTGTTTGGTGGGAACCAAAAAACGTGTGAGATCGATGTAGTGAATGAGCAAGGGAGAAGATGGACAATGAAACTTGCAAAAAACATCTCTAGTGGTGTGTTTTACATCAGACAAGGCTGGGGAAATTTCTGCTGCGTTAATGGGCTAAGTCAAGGACAGTTATGTAAGTTTAAACTTTTCCAAAATGGGGAAAGGCCTGTGCTTTGGTTGTGTCCACAGGAATCTGGCAATGGCCGTAAAGAGAAGAGGACGTTTGATGAAGTTTCCAAGGTAAAGGAGAAGAAGACTCCTTCTCCATTTCTGATAGTAAAGTATACACCTAGCCGTGACACTACCGGGCAACTAGTAAGTTGAAGAACTCGTTGTCATGAACGTTTTTTTGTGGATATCGTCATGAGTTTAAGCGTTTGATACTGAGTGAATCTTGTTCAGTCACTTCCAGTGAGTTTCACGAGGAAGAATAACATTAACAAGGCTGGGGAGATAATTCTGCTGAACCAAGATGGAAGAAAGTGGTCATCTTATCTACAGATAACAGGACTTGGACGAGGCGGAAGTGAATGGTTTTATTTGAGAAGAGGTTGGAGAGAGATGTGCGAAGCTAATGGAGTGAAGGTTAATGATTCATTCAAGCTGGAACTGATGTGGGAAGGAGCAAATCCTATGTTTAAGTTCTGCTCTAAGGTGAACCAACAACACAACTTTATGTATATGCAAAACATTTTGCCTTTCTTAGTTAGGCTTAGTTGCTAACATGTTTCCTTCAGATTGAAAACCATGAATACAAGGGAAAAGGAAACCAAAGAACTCGTAAGAAGAGAGCTTGTGAGACTGATCCGCAGCCAAGGAATGTGAAAAAGACTCCAAGAGTAGGAGTAGAGGGACCAGAGCATCAAGTTGATGAGGAGAGAGGACGCACTCAGGTTTCAAACAGAACCAACACCATTTCAAGAGAATTACAGCGCTTGCTACCACGATCTTGCTCAGTCTCGGATCAGGTGGCTAATGTGAAACCAGGGCATTGTAGATACTCTGAACACTGTGAGACAATGTCGGACTGAGCTTGAGACAAGTGAACAGAATCTGCAAGCCTCTTTGCTAGCAATTGAAGCCTTAGGTTTGTTCCAGAATCAAGATCTAGTTGTTTTTTTCCATGATAACCAATATTTTTGGTTTCTAATGTTGTGATCATGATGAAATAGGGGAGAGGATATGGGGAATCAGCAAAATCCTCAGCAATAATCTGGTTTGAAGATGGGGAAAAGAAACAAAGAGTCTTTATTCACGAAACTAGTTTATTCTGTATTTGAGACTTGCAAGTTTTAGAGACTGTCCACTTGAATGAAAGTTTCTAGTTTGGAAGGGCGTTCTTCGGTTGTATCAGCAATTTGGACTACTTCATTATATCGCTGAGAAACTAGTAATATTTGTAATGCTTTCTGAGTTACAACTTTTGTTGTATTAGTAATTAATTACTTCGGTGCTATACGTTTTTGCTGTTAAACGCATGAATGATGATGCTATTGGGTTGTTTGGCATTTTTTATGCTTGAGAATTAGAAAATCAACTGTCATTAGACTTGAATGAGATAATGCTATACAAAAGGAGTCCTCTCTGGTCAACTAACTACTTCCCTCCATTGTTGAACAAGTTCAAAATACTACAAAAAAAAAAAAAAAAAAAAAAAAAAACAGGTAGCAAAAGTCTCCGGTCCAATCCATGATCTTCCGTCTCACTTTCAAACTTGATTATGAGTGAATAAATTTGTTGATTCCGGATATCTTCTCCCCTGTTTGTTCCAACATCAGATTATCAGAGACCTAGAACCAATATAAACCACATAACAAAAGACAAGTGTTCATCAACATCCAGATCACACACCTAAGACGTTCATTTCCTGCAGCAAAACTTCTAGATTATCTTCCTTTTTCTTGATCTCAGACCGAAACTGCCGTACACTGTCTATAATGATCTGTTCATTTGTCTCGAGCTCGGACCGAAACTGTCGTACACTGGTTATAGTGTCTACAACGCTCTGTTTCACCTTAGCCAACTGTTGTGTGACTGAGCAAGGTTGAGGGAGTTTCTTGCGCATGTCTCCGGGCTCAGCACTGAATTTCTGAGTGCAGCAAGAGAATTCTCCTTCTGCACTTGTCTTCTCCATAAGGACTCGAGGTCGCTTGTGTGTCCAAGTCTCAGTTTGTGCAGTATCCTCTTTTTCAGCCAACTCACGGTTTCTCATTTCCTGAGTTTGTACTCCTACTCCAGCTTCTGTTTCACGTCTCGGGGACACAGCCTCATGTCCGTTCTCATTCATAGAAGAAATAGCTGCCATTACAGATGAATCATGAGGAAGTGAACTTAAAGAATGCTCCATCTTCAGTCTCCTCTTAGGTACACTAGTTTACTCACGCGTAGAAACTTTTCTTGCTGTCTGTTTATCCTGCTGAGTGGAAAATGACATCACAATTATCATAAAAGAGTAAGACATTATCTTTTTTCAACAAAATCGACGAATTTCAGTGTTTCAATGCTGGTTGCAAAGAGAAAGAAGCATGCCTTTACTGCCACTTCCCTTGGGTCTTGACTATTCTGCAGAGGACACAAAGTGGCAAAACGGTATAAGAGCAAATGAAACTGGAAAACTCTCATAACCATTGGTTTTCGGAAACAACCTTCCTCCATAGGAGACACTTGATACAAGTAAAAACGATAAAGGCAGTTTGATACAAAAACAGGCGAGAAAGTTTACTTCTTTTTTATCAGCAACAGCTCCGTTCTGCTTCAAAGCACTCAATGCCCCTTCACATATTGAAGCCACTATATTACTATACTTATCTAGAGAGATGCCCGATGATTTTACTGCGTCAGCCAGATACGTTTTGAGCTTGCTAGCACAGTTAATGAGAACTTGTTCTGCCAACTTCCGTGATACTTGGGGAATCTGCTGCCAAGTTGAAAGAAGTTAACAAAAGAGCAGTGGGTTCCGAAATAAAAATATTAAGAAGAAATCCATGTATCACCTTATCATCCTTTCTAACATAATGTAGAATTGGTGAAAGCAACTGTGGAGGTATATCATCACTTTCTTCTACAACAAGGGTCATAATGTGCTCCATAGATGAAAACACTTTCACAGGATGATGGTCCCTGAAAAGGAAATATAAATTCATCATCATTCCACTTTCAAACGTACATTTATGGATGCTGTACAACAAACATAAGCAACACTCAACAGACCAGTTGCGAAACTACACTACCAACAAATAAAACTTCATTTCCAGTAGGAAGAAAATATTAGCTTGTACCTTATACCGTTGAGGAAATGCTGGAACATCTCAACAAGAAGTGCATCACATTCAAGATTCAACATCACTCTGCTTAATTTGACATCATGCACAGTTTCAAGGATCGATAACCTCTTGGCGTAGGATCGACTATATATGTCAGACAGATGTTCAAATGATGATACAATTAACCGGAATACTTCCTGCAAGTAAATCATAGAAACTAGTAAGTGACCAACCCGCATTGCTCATTTTCCTTAGGAGAAAACTACCAAACAACAACGTACTTTCATCTGGTCATCATCATAGGTAAGATCTGGAGCAGTTATGAACGTAATCTGACAAATGCAAGCCGCAACTGCAAGTTTGACATGAGCATCCGAATGTTTGAAGAGTTTAGGACTGACCAATGCTCCTATCAATGGATAAAGTTCACACATTGTTGGGCAAGGAGGTGACTGTTCGATCTTTGACATGAGGTGTTCAACTTTCTGAAGGAAAAGACAATAAATTGATCATTAAACTCAACAACTCCAAAATCTCAGCACACTTGAAAATGAATTCAAGAGATATAAAAGAAAATCCAGTTCACAACATTTCGAAAAAAACCCAGACTTTCATAAATTAGAGCTCAAGGCAGTTCTAAAGTCTAAAAATTTATCCAAGAATGGATTCATTCATTCTTAACGGATTGAATACAAAAGACAAGGCTTTCTGAATTACAAGAAGAAAGCATTTGCACAGTGTCGCAATCAAACGTCTGGAGAAGATGAGTAAGAGTTATATACCACGAAGATGAAAACAAAAAGGAAAAGGAAAGAAAGAAGAAAACGGTGAGTAGGAGCTGACGTCGAGAAGAGAAAGAATCTCATGAACAGAAGAAGGTGGATCACGAAGCTTTCTTCCAGCTTCCTCAAGCTCTCTATCAGAAACCGACATCATGATGACTCTGGAAAGATCTCTCTAAACCCTAACTACGAGAATTTCAGCCGTCTCGAAATGAAAAACCCAGCATCCGGTTTCAAGATTCGCCGGATTCAATTTTCAATGGGACTGACTTCTCACTGAAGAAGACGAATAAAAGCAACGACGGTAATTAATTATTTGATGATGTGGCATGTTCCAGCATGTCACGTTGACATGGATTAATATATTATTTTCTTTTCGGCGAATAGAGATTTTATTTAACTTTTTTTTTTTTTTTTTTTTTTTTGGACAAAAGAGATTTTATTTAACTTAAATCAAATATTACACTTAAGAGACTGCCCATTTTTATTAGTGATTTCTTTTTTTGGTTCAAAAAGTTGGTAATATTTTCTTGACCCGGAACGAATGAAGAAGCTTGATAGAAGATTATGCCGTTTATGCATAACAGCACTCAATGTCTCTTCAAGATTGATCAATTCCGAGAGTAAATACTTGTGGCTTTTCCTTTTGTAAACACTTGGCAACTACTTTGAAGTTTTCGCTTTTAGGGTAAATCCTTATATTTCCCGGTGATAGAGTTGCAAATCAGAATATTGGGGCCGTCATAGCAACACGCCAACCCAAAACTGGGATGGCATATATCCTCAAAGAAGAACTTGACACCAAATGAATTGACTTTAGGTAAAGTGATAAACGTTCCAGCACCAGGATTACATATCACAAAGTTTGGTCCATTAATTTTGTCATCAACATCAGGAATAAGTTGACAAGAATTATACACAACCGAAAGATAAGAAAAAATATGCAATATGTTATAGTTATTATAAAATTTGGAAAAAAGTAAGCAAAACAAATGCAAAAAATAAGAAAAATCAAAGAAATGTTCAGGTACCTATAGTTTTGGTGGCCTAAGGCAAAATAAAATAAAATGAGATGGTTTATACATTTTCATAATAAAATGTGTTATAACTTATAACTAAAACTAAAAATATTTTTTGTAATAAACTAGAGATATTTAACACTATGTTCTTAATCTATGAAAATAACATTTTGTACAGTTAACTATAAATATATAATTTTATACAATTTTTGTATTCTATTTTCTTAGTTAACATTTTTTATCTATAAAAATACTAAAATTCAAAAACATTATATTGTAAAGTATCAGAGATAAATAAAAATAGTTTGGATATATTAAAAAAAATTCAAACTTCAGAAAAATAGCACTAAAAATAAAAATATTTTACTAATATATATTCTGTATAATTATTTAAAATTTGGGGCCAAAATTTGATTAATTTAAGGTAAATGCTTTTTTTTATTTTACTAATTGTCACGGCCCATATGGAGATACTACTAGTGAGCTTGTATAAATAATAGAATCATCAAGCTTTTGATCATCCCTTTTAAAAAATCACAAACAGATTTCGAGAAATGTTCTTAATGAGTGCAAAAAGAACATAAATACCCATAGATCAATACGACTTGTCATTAGATATCAGCCTAATTATGCAGTGACAATCTTCACAAACACATAAATTATCCCGTCTGCAATATCTCATTACTAAAGGATAAATTGGTTTGTAGGAAGAGAAAGAAGAATCAAATGTTGTCTCTAGTCATAATACTTGTTTCGATTGTTGAACGAGTTCCAGATACAAACAAAAATTGCAAAAGAGTCCTTGTTCCATTTCCTGATCTTAAGAAACTTTTAAACTTGATGATTACTTGAGGATTTTGTTGATTTCCAACACTTTCTCCCCTGTTTTTCCAACATTAAAATATTAGACACAAAGAACCTAATTAGTAAAAAATAAACAAGTGTTCATCGGTTATTCAGATCATACCTAAAGCATCAATTTCCAATATCGAAGCTTCTAAATTCTGTTCCTTTACTTCAAGCTCTGACCGAATCCGTTTTACCCCGGTTAAAGTGTCCTCAATAATCTGTTTCACCTTTTGCACTCGATCAGAGATTGAGCAAGGTGGTTGCCTAGGCTTCAAGTTTTGTGGATCAGCATTGGGTTTGTTTGATGCCTGATTGCGGCGTGAAGATCCTCCTCCTGCAGAAACTCGAGCTCTCTTTTCGACCCGAGTCTCCGTTTCTTCTTGAGTCTCTCTTTCTTCATCTAATGGTACTTGTTCTATCTAAAATACAATTCATTTAAAAACTCTCTGCTCATTTTAACACAAAAGTTGACTTGATACGCAAGTTGATTGTTCACCTCTACCTTGGTCTTGGAGCAGAACTTGAGCATTGGAGTTGTGCTTTCTCCTCGAACAAACTCCAACGTGAAGGTCTCTCCCGTCTTTAACCTATTGGCTGCACAAAAACCTCTCCAACCTTTTGCCAAATAATACTTTCCTCCTTGACCATCACCAGAAGCTACATAGGATGGCCAGTTTCCTCCATTTTTGTCCACTAGAGTTATATCTTCTGCCTCCTTTATTTCATTCTCTATAGCAAAGGGTCTCGAAATATGCTGCATAAGATTCAGATCATCCATAAAGTATTACATGAAAATGCTTAATTAAACCCTAAACCTAAGATATTAAAAACTTACAAGTTGACCTGACTTGAGCATGTAAGGCTTAAAGGTCATTGTCAAAAACTTGCTCTGCTTCATTGAAGCACTCTCTGAAAAAATTTCCTTTCTGTTTCCTTTGTAACAGTCTTCTTCTGGAATAGTTTCGGAACACAACCGTAGCAAAGGCCTTGCCCCGTTTTGGACAAGCTTAAACCTGTAGAAAGATCCAGCTTCTAACCCATTTGCTAAGCAGAAGTCTCTCCAGCCTCCACTAATACTAGCCTGCTCATTTGCTGTACTGTATCTCAGACCAACTGTCCATGATTTTCCATGTTGATTCATTAGATCAATCTCACAGCATCTCTGGTTCAGGCCATTTGACCTCGCAAAACCCTTTATAAGAGACTGCAAAAGCGTAACGCTTAATACTAATTAGTGTGAAGGTACGAGACTATGCTCTCATCAAATTATAAAAAGAGAAGAGTCAAGCAGTTTACCAATCTATCTCGGCTTAGGTTTGAAGACGTGACGTGCGCAACAAGATAAGAGTTTTTGGATGAAGACTTTGCTTCTGTTCTTGGCTTCTTCTTCGACGCAATGTTTTTGGAATCTGAATACTCGGTCCATGCATCATCTTCATCAGCCCCATCCTCGTCAGAGGATATGTACTGTACCTTACAGAAACTGCGACCGGAGGCTGTGACGTGAAAGGTCATGTCCCCGATTTCCCTGAAAATCAAAACGTCGTCGTCTTGGAGAGAGTGTACGGTGGAGAAATTTTCCCAGCCGCGGGCGAATCTGCGGCCGTTCAATTTCACTTCCCAGGTTCTATCCAAAGCGTCCGAGGTCAGTTTCAGTTTTGTAGACTGGTTTTTACCTTCTACGTAAGTCGAAAAAAACTCAGCAGGAATCATCTGCACAACAACATAAAGAAACTTTTGTGATTAATTGTAACAGAGAGAAACATAAAGAAACTTATAGAAGAGAGTAATTACGGGACTGGATTTGTGTCCATGAAGAACTATGACAAAGAAATGCTGCTTGGTTGGAGAGGAAATTACTGGATCATCCATTATTTTGAAGAAAGTAATCTCCACAACTCTACTAAGAATCTCAGATATATGTGAGTTTGATCTTGAAATTTTTGTCTTTTCGTATTAAAGAAATGTTTTAATGCAAGGGCATGCAAGTTCTTTCTCGAAACCGTTGAAAGAGACAGAAGCATTAAAGCTCGCATGGAGACTTTGCGTTGAATATTGAAACAACCAAACAGAGTGGACGCATGTGTAGTAAAGTGGGGGCCACCACTGCCACCGTTGAAATTTGATTGGTCAATAGAATTAACCTTTTTTTTGTTTGGATTCTCAATTCACTTATCTATACGAAAAAAAAATACGAATCATCCCCACAAGCACATATCGTTAAAAAATCAAACTGATCGTCTGATCCCTTTAAACAATCTCACGTCCAAAGACCTTTTAGAAGTCAGCTGAATTACCGAGTTTCGATTTTCACAAACACGTAAATCATATTAATATCATTTACTAAAGAAACTACTTGTCTCGATTGTTGAACGAGTTCTAGATACAAACAAGGTTTGCAAAAGTTCATGTTCCATTTCCTAATCTTCACTTCACTTCTAGACTTGATGATTACTTGAGGATTTTGTTGATTTCCGATACTTTCTCCCCTGTTTATATTCAACACTAAAATGTTAGTAACAAAGACCCAAAATAGTAAAAGAAAACAAGTGTTCATTCAGTGTTTAGATCGTACCTAAGGCGTCGATTTCCAGCAGCGCAGCTTCTAAACTCTGCTCCTTTATCTCGAGCTCTGACCGAAACCGTTTTATACCAGTTAAAATGTTTACAATACTCTGTTTCACCTTTTTCGCTTGGTCAGAGAATGAGCAGGGTTGAAGTGGTTGCTTGCGCTGCAAGATTTTTGGATCATGACTGGCTTTGTTTGGTGTCTGAGTGCGACGAGAGTGTCCTACTTCTGCAGACACTCGAGCTCTCTTTTGAAACGGAGTCTCCGTCTCTTCTGGAGCCTCTTCTTGTTCTATCTGAATACAATTCATTTTAACAGTCTGAATATTCATTTTTACAGTCTGAATATAGTTCATTATAACAAAAAAAGGTGACTTGAATCACAAGGTGTTTATTCACCTTGACCTTGGCCTTGGAGCAGAACTTGAGCATAGGAGTTGTGTCTTCTCCTCGAACAAACTCCAAAGTGAAGGTGTCTCCCGTGTTTAACTTATTGGCTTCACAAAACCTTTTCCAACCATGTGCCATGTAAAACTCTCCTCGTTGTTTGGCAGAAGCTACATAGGATGGCCACTTTACTCCATTTTTGTCCACTAGAATTATCTCTTCTGCCTCCTTGATCCCGTTCTCCCTCGCAAATGATCTCGGAAGACGCTGCATAAGTTTCAAAGCATTCGTGAAGTATCACAAGAAAATGCATAATCAAATTAACCCTAAACCTAAGATGTTGAAAACTTACAAGGTGTCCTGACTGGATCATGTAATGCTTAAAGGTTACGGTCAGAAACTTGTTCTGCTTCGTTGAAGCACTCCCAGCTGCCCTGCTATACTTTTCCGAAACATTATCTTTTCCATTTGCTCTGGAACGGTTTCCTTCTGGAATAACTTCAGAACACAACCGTAGCAAAGGCCTTGTCCCATTCCGGACAAGCTTAAACCGGTAGGAAGATCCGGGTTTCATCTCATTTGCACGGCAGAAACTTCTCCAGTGTCCACGGATATAATCCTGACCAGTTCTGTTGTTGTGTCGCAGGCCCAGAGCCCATGATTCCCCACTTAGATTCATTAGATCAATCACACACCATCTCTTGGTCAAACCATTTGTTCTCGAAAAATGTTTTGAAAAACTCTGCCACAAAAGAACAAAACACAATTTCAATGTTCAGAATATATATAACTTATAACAAGAACTCTAAAAGAGTTTGATTCAAAGTAGTAACCACTCGATTTAGGCGTAGGTTGGAAGGTGTAACGCCGAGAAAACAAGAGTTTTCCGATGAAAAAGACTCTCCTTTAAATCTTGTTTCCTTCTTCGGATCTGAATCATCGCCCCCTGTCTCATCATCATCATCATAATTATCATCTTCATCATCACTATCGCCTCCATCATCATCGTTATCATCATTGTCGTAGTCACCGTAGCTAGAAGATGTATGTATCTGAGAGAAACTGCGACCGGAAGGTGTGACGTGGAAAACCATTTTCCCGTCGTGTCTGAAAACCAAAACGTCGTCGTCTCGAAGACAGTGTGCGGCGGAGAAATCATCCCAGCCGCCGGCGAATCTCCGGCCGTTCAGTTTCACATCCCAGGTTCTATCCGAAGCGTCAGAAGTCAGTTTCAATTTCGTTAAGCCAGTTTTATCCTTCAAGTGAGCCGTGAAAAACGCATCAGGAATTATCTGCAACAACAGTGACAACTAAATTTGGTTTTCTTGGTAAGTTGAGAGAGAGAAAATGATAGAAAGAGTAATTACTAGATTCGAGTTGTGTCCAGCAAGTGATCTGACGAAGAAAGGTCGGTTGGATTGAGAAGAAGATAGTGGATTCGCCATTGTTGAACTCAAGTTATTTGTTGAGGTCTTTATGGGTTTTTTTAGTCGCTTGATTTTTTGGTTTCATAGCCAAATTTGTCTCTTCTTTTTCTTTTTTTTTTTGTCTCGTCTTTTACGTTTTGTTTATCAATAATAAATGACAATGTAGCCTTAATGATTTTCATAAATTTAATTCTTCAACCAAGATATTTTATTTTCTGTTAACATTAATTAAAATATTGTAATCAAATACTTAATGATAATGTTATGGAACCCATTAACCCGTTTGATTCGGTTCGTAAAAAAGAAAATATCCAGTTTAGATTCAAAGTCTATCTTACCATCATTTCCAAGACAGACGTGTCCCGTTCAGTAGAACAGTTCAATCACTACGATACGAATCTAAACTTTTGCATAGAGAGTCCCTTCTTTACTTTTTAGCCACCTTTTTCAGAGAGTTTACTCGTTTTTTTTTTCTTTCTTTTTTTCTTAACTTCTAAGAGTTTACTCATTTTCTTTAGTTATACTCAGCTTGCGTCTCTACCAAAGAAATTTTTTTAAAAAAATAACGCATGGTGTTGTAATTGTTGGTGATCAATGTACACAAAATAGTATCATTCTCAAATTATAACAAATTTGGAGACAGTGAAAGAATATAAACAAAGTAAACGATTAATAGCAAGTAGCAACCGATAGATTTGAGCTATCAAAAAAAGATTTCATTCATTATGATACTGAAAAAGTGAAAATGTCAGTAACTTTATCTTGACGGAGACGTGAATGATATAAAGGCCATATTTAAACGGAGAACACTTAGACCATCATCAATGGTAAACTTGGGTGGGTGTGTGTTAGTGGAATGTAAATATTTTTTTTTTATTTTAATTTATAGAGAGAGAAAAGAGAGAGAGAAAGAAAGAGAGAGAGAAAGAGAGAAAGATTTTTTTATTATCTTACACTCGGGTGTGAGTTAAGATTCGAGTGTGAAAAGAGAGACAGCGCAGTGTATTATTTCTCATTTTTAAAATACTCACACCCCATGCTCGGTTATTCCGCTGTGTTTGCTCTTAGGTGTTTTTAGCCTTTTAAAAATAGAAAATATTATGAATAGTATTAGATCTGTTCATGTTGTAGAACTGTTCTTGGCCCAGTTTTAGCGTGACGTGGCGCTTCATCATTGGTTACGAATTTTTGTAAAGGAAAAAAACATTTTATTTCTCCTTCGATCCGAAATCTATGCTAGGGTTTAATTAAATAATATGTTTGTTTGTTTTTTTTTATTTATATCTTTAATGTTCTTTTTTATTTCATAAAAATGTGATATTATATTTTGTGTTTCTTTTTATTTTCAAATCTATTTTAGTATAAGTTTTTTAAGTTTGCAATTTAAAAGTTATTTCTTAAAGTTTTTAAAATTGTAAACTAATGATATTACATTATTTCAATTTCAAATCAATTCCTATGATCTAAACATGTTCTACCAATAATCACTTACTTTACAAAAAATCTTAATTAAAGCTTTTACAATATTTTAATATTTTTTCTCTCTTAAGATCAAACTTCAAAGATACATCCTTGCATATGCCCTAAGGCTGTGGGATAACTAATATCTAAGACATGTGGAAACGGAAAAGTTCCGAAATATTCTCCAACTCCATCGTTGCAAAAAGTACCTGATCTTCATTTCCGAATTAAACTTGACTAATGTTGAAGATTTTGCTGATTTCCATTATCTTTTCCCCTGTTTTTTTCCAACATTACATTGTCAAGAAATCTAAAACCTAAATGAACCACACACACCATTAAAAGTAGTGGTCATTGGTAATTCAGATTCATACCTAACGCATCAATTTCTTGCAGCGAAGCTTCTAGATTATGTTCCTTTACCTCGAGCTCCCGCTGAAACCGTCTCACATCGGTTAAAGTATCCACAATACTCTGTTTCACCTTTTTAACGTGATCAGAGATTGAGCAAGGTTGAAGCGGTTGCTTTTGCTGCAAGTTTCCGGATCAGCCCTAGTGCAGCGAGATAGCCCTCCTTCCTCAGTAACTCGAGCTCTCTTTTGTTCTTCAGCCTGTGGTGCTTGAACCGTCATTCGGGGTTTCCTCTCCGCAGCCTTATAGCCATCTAATGATGCTGCTTGCTTTACCTGGACACAATTCGTTTTAACACAACTATTTCACAATAGCAAAAGCCAAGAACAAGAACTGTAACTGATTTTGTGTTAACCTTGGAACAGATCTTGAGAATTGGAGATGTTCCTCCTCGAATAACCTCTAATGTGAAGGGATCACCAACGTACTTTATGCCATTGGCTACAAAGAAATCTTGACAACTTCTAATGTAAAACTGATCGCGTCCCTTGACGTTAACTAGATGCGATTTCCACTCTACGCCATCTTTGTTTAATACAGTTACCTCTCCTGCTTCCACAATCCCGTTCTCTCTTGCGAACGATGCAGGAAGACGCTGTACATTTTCAACACATTTAAGCGAATGACAACACAAAAAGACTTGAAAAAACCCTTGAACAAAGATCTTGAAAACTTACAAATTGACATGACCTGAACACGTAAGGTTTAAGATCAAATGTCATAATCTTGTTCTGATTCATTGCAACAGTCTCTGAGCAATCCTCAGATTCAATCTCATCACCTTCACTTTCAGAAACATTCCGTTTTTTGCTTGCTTTGGAAGAGTTTCCTTCTGGAATGCTAGAGGCGTTGGGACACAGCTGTAGCACAGGTTTTATTCCACTTTGGACAAGCTTAAACCTACAGAAAGATCCGGCTTTGATCCCGTTGTTACGACAGAAACTTCTCCATCCTCCACGCATAAAAGCCTGACCAGTTTTTTTGTTGTGTCTAAGAAGCAGAGTCCAAGATTTTTCATGTTCATCTATAAGATCAATCTCGCACTCTCTCCTGTCCAGACCATTTGACCTTGCAAATTTGCTTAAAAGACACTGCAAAATAACAACTTCATTATATATAATGTAGCAAAAAAAATATAATGAGAATTGAATTAAAGAGTCAAGCGAAGTACCATAATATCTCGGCGTAGGCTTGAAGGTGTGACATGTGCAAGAAGATAAGATCTGTCTGATGAAGACTCTGTTTCTGTTCTCGCTCTCTTCTTCGACGAAACTTTCTTTGAAAATTAGTTCAATACCTTCTCTGAAATTTGTTACTTCGAATGCTTTTCTTCGATGGCGTTATAGTAAGGTTTATAATCCGAACTCCGTTATTCATTGTCATTAAACACTGATTTATTGTCATTAACTAATTAATGACAAAGATATTGATACTAGAAAAAATAAATAATGACAAAGATATTTCTAGAATACTACTCCTTTTTTCTTCTGATGTGATTGATGTAATACTCTCGTAGAACTGTGTAGGTCAGAAGAAAAAGTTTCAACCCAGTTTCATAAAAAATTGATTTGATTTTTTTCTCTTGAGTTAAAACTTTATTTTACTCTCTGTTTCTATTAGTGGATCATGTCAGAAGACTTCGAAGAAAGCAAAACAAGAGTAAAAAATATCTTTTCACTTTTTGCATTATTAAATAAATAAATGAGTGACTCATTAGGTAGCTGGAGCTCTAATAAATAAGAGGAGCCAGTAGAGACGAAAAGACACTGATCTTTAACTTAGTCATTTTTGTTGTTCTCTATGGTTTTCTTTTGTTAGAACCTCTTTTGAACAATGGCGGATCCAGTTCTTCAATCTACGACATGCCCACATTTCTTCCAGCCTCTTCTTCCCGGCTTCGACTCCTACCTCGTACTGTGTCTCTGTCCCTCTTCTACGATCATTAGCTTATTTAGAAAGGTGGTTTCGTTTTAAAAACTCTTTTGCTTATTGTTGCAGAACATTCCTGTAACCTTCTTCCTCAAGCATGTAGAAAGAAGCAACGAACAAAGGACTGCGAACTTGAGATCGGACGCTTCAGATACGACTTGGGAAGTGAAGATCGATGGCCGGAGTCGGAGGCTCACCGGTGGCTGGAAAGAATTCGCTACAGCACATGATTTTCGTGTCGGCGATATCATTGTTTTCAGACACGAAGGAGATTTGGTGTTTCATGTCACTGCATTGGGACCCAGTTGTTGTGAGATTCAATATGTACAGTCTTGCAACGACGATAATCTTGATGATGATCAGGAAGACATAAGTAAGTTGTGTTCTGTTTTTATCTTCCCATGGAATTCACATTTTGGTTTCAAGATTAGAACGTTTTACTCGGTGTGATTCAGGAAACTTGCCAATGGAACAGAGTCTTAAAACAGAACTAGAGGCAGAGCGCTCATTAGACGACGACGATGAAGATGATAACATGGGTAAGTCAATCTATAAATGAGTCTTCTTGATTTGTTGGTTTTTCAAGAACATCTACAAGGTCTAGCTAACTTGTCCAACTTTTGTGAAAACAGGAAAGCTTCTGAGAAAGAAACATGTGAACAAGAGGATTCCTGAAACAGAAGCAAAGTGTTTTTCATCAGATCAGTCTTGTTTCGTTGCACATGTAACAGATTCGAACCTACGAAAGGATCACTGGTTGGTACTTCAGATCTACTGTTGATTCCTTTGGAGAGCCATGAAAGTTGTTACTCATGTATAATTTTTTTACTTTGTAGTCTCTTCCAAGGAAGTTTGTTAGGCCTGATGGTCTGAATAAAGGAACCAACAAGATTGTTCTGGTGAATGAAGGAGCAAGGACATGGACGCTTATTCTGAAGTTTAGGGATTCTAGAAGATCGTTTTACATGAGGGGTGGCTGGAGAAGTTTCTGCCGTGGGAATGGGCTTAAACCTGGAGATTCCGTCACGTTTAAACTAGAGAGCAACAACACAAAAACGCCTCTTCTTCGTTTCTCCACTACAGAATCAAAGAGTATTTCCACTAAAGATAGTAGCAAAGGGAAGAGAAATTTTTTTGGAGAAAGTAGTAAAAAAGTGTCATCATCTTCGGTTAGTGAAAACCGATTTCTGACACTAACTGTCACACCAGCCAGTATCCGCTGTGGCAGACTTGTAAGTTTTATTCCCTTGTTTTTGGTATTTGAGGCTTTGTGAAGTGCACAGAGTATATATACTCTAATTGTCTACTTTTTCTGCAGTATCTTTCGAGGAAGTTTATTAGTGTTAACAAGATGGAGAAGGCAGGGGGGAAGAAGATAACTCTATTGGACAAGAGTGGAGAAGAGTGGCCAGTGACTTTACTGATGGATAAGAGATATACAAGGATGGTTTTGGGTTCAGGGTTGAAAGAATTCTGCAATGCTATTGGCGTTAAGGAATATGAATCTGTGGTGTTGGAGTTGGTTTGGGAAGAGACAACAACTCTACCTATGTTCAAATTCTGCTCCAAGACCAAGACTTGACTCTAATTTGCAGGCCAAGTTATTACTAAGTATGGTCTTTTTTAGTGAGCTCATAAGTCATAACCTATGCAATATGAATCCAGTGAAATGTTTGTCTGTTTAGGTCAACAACATTTACTTACTCTAAGGGTCTTGAAAAAAGTAACAACAATTTATAAGTTCTATCTGTTATCAGCCTTTAGTACCATGAGTCATTTCTGTAATATCTGCATTACAATTGTAAGTTAGAAATTAGAATCTTTCTGCATAACAATTGATCAAAACCTTAATTACTCTAACTGGACAATTCGATTGGTTCTTGATAATTCTGATGCACAAAGCTGTTTTAGGCCTGGGCGTTTGGGTATTCGATTCTGATCAAAGTCTTGATTTATTGGTGTTTGAAGAATATATCTACAAGGTCTAACTTTTTCTACTTCCAATAAAAATAGGAAAGTTTCCGAGAAAGAAACATGTGGAGAAGGAGATTCCTGAAGCAGAAGCAAAGTCTTTTTCATCAGACAAGTCTTGTTTCGTTGCACATGTTACAGATTCTAACCTACGAAACGATACACTGGTTGGTACTTCAGGTCTACTGTTGATTCCTTTTAAGAGCCGTGAAAGTTGTTACTCATGTTTAAATTTTTTTACTTTGCAGTTTCTTCCAACAAAATTTGTTAGGTCCGATGGTCTGATTAAAGGAAGTAACAAGATTGTTCTAATGAATGAAGAAATAAGGACATGGACGCTTATTCTGAAGTTTAGGGATTCAAGTAGATCGTTTTACATGAGGGGTGGCTGGAGAAGTTTCTGCCATGAGCATGGGCTTAAACCTGGAGATTCCGTCACGTTTAAACTAGAGAGAAACAACACAAAAACGCCTCTTCTTCGTTTCTCCACTGCAGAACTAAAGAGTGTTTCCACTAAAGATTGCAACAAAGGAAAGAGAAACGAATCTGGTGACAGTAGACAAAAGGTTCCATCATCGTCATCTTCAGTAAGTGAATACCGTTTTGTGACACTAACCGTCAGACCAGCCGTTCTCAAAAATGGTAGACTTGTAAGTTAAAACAACTGAGTTTATTCCCTTGGTTTTGGTTATCAATGCTTTATGAAGTGCACATTGTGTAAGCTTATTGCCTTCTTTGTGTGCAGCATCTTCCAAGGAAATTCATTGAGGTTAACCAAATGGAAAATATAGGTATGAAGAAGATAACTTTGTTGGACAAGCATGGAGTAGAGTGGCCAGTGAATTTAGTCATGGAAAAGGGAAATACAAGGACGCGTTTGGGTTCAGGGTTGAAAGAATTTTTCAAGGCTAATGGAATTAAGGCATACGAATCTTTTGTGTTGGAGTTGGTTTGGGAAGACAAAACAACTCTTCCTATGCTCAAGTTCTGCTCCAAGACCAAGACTTGACGCTAATTTGCATCCCACTTGTTCACAAGTATGTCTTTTTTTAGTGAATTCATAACCTATGTGATATGAATCTAATATTCTAATGTCTGTTATTAACTATTTAGGTAAGAGTCAATGCGTCTATTTAAGTCAACAAAATATTTATCTACTTATGGGTCTAGATGATTCGGCCACATGAATGGCAAAACAATTTGGCAATTCACCAGTAAGAACATTTAAATTCTATGTATAATCACCCTTTGTACCATATAAGTCATTGTGTAATAGTATCTGCATCACTATTGTAACTTTGTAAGCTAAACGCTCTGTTGATTTTCAAATGTTTTAACATACCACATCATTGCGCGTCGATCATCTTGGTGTCCATATCTCTCACCGGAGGTTTGGATTTTGTACAGACCAGTGGAGTTGAAGTTGCAGGATCTGAACACGAATCGACAGCCTGATATTTTACCTCTGGATCTCTGTTCCCATTTGCTGCATCCTCTTGATGATCTGTTGCAGAGTCATCAGTTGAAGGGTTTGACTCGGAATCCAATGTATCAACCCTTTCAACCTCACTACAGCATTCAGAGGTCAGTACTGATGATGATGATGATGATGATGGTGATGGTGATTGCTCACGTTCAGGGTCTTCAATGGTCACATGGGTGCTGCTTCTGCTTTCAATAGCTCCTACCATCGAACTCTCAACTAACTCTTTTACGAAAGATTCTGTTTTCTTCTCGTCTTGAACTTCTGATCTAAGACATGATGATGACGACCGAGCTTGAATCCTGCATGACATCAGAAAAACATAAGAGACTCACTAGCTCAACAACATTAGTCTGTTTATATTTTCATCATAAACAATCAATTTACTGAACTCTTAATGGTGAAATAATCAGCCTCAATCTTGTGGTTATAGATGAAATTTACACGGAGAGCTGAACAACAAAAGACAGGAGGAGAAAAGCTTACCTGCTGTAGAGGAGCATATAAGCTCTTTGAGAAAGAACATCTTCTAATTCAACACTTTCTATCTGTGAGTAATTTCGATTACTGTTAGAAGATCGCTCGACATTTCATGCTAACAAAAAGAGCGGAAAGTAAAAGAGTGTTACCTCGGAATCATCTATTCTATACCAGTTTCCGCAAAAGTCCTTAATGTAGCATATGTAATGGCCGAAGAATGAAGCATTCAGCATATCTAAATGGACAATCACTGCATAGAGTTTATATACATCTGATCCATCTCCGCCTTCACTCATGTAAGGATTAAGATCCAATGTCGCAGGAAAACTTATTCTTTTGTTCAGTTTTCCGTATCTTCCTCCCTGTACATAATTTCACGTATTATAGACAACTATTCCCAGAAGAATTTAGCAAATGTAGGAGGAATGCCACAAATACCTGATATCTTTTTAAGGCAATAGTAAGAATATTTGGAGCACGCCAAATCGTAAGACGCTTACATGCCTTTACATAGTCACTACACCTGGAAAGAGAAAATATTATCGGGTTTAAGAAACATAGTCAATTTGTCAACCAATAAGCTAACAAACTGCTTAAGAAACATATCTTTTTGGATTTAATTAAAATACCTATCACATTTGTACATGTTATCTCCATGAAGCCACTCTTCGGCTGTAAATTGATCAAGACATTCCTCCAAAGACACCGCATCCCCATGCATCTCAACGATCAGATCCATCATATTTTCATATTGGTCAGAAACATGATTGCAAACAGTACACTGAACCTGGAAAGTTGAAAATGCAACAAATCAGGGAAAAAGCTCCCCACAGAGAGAGAGGAACAGTAGAAATTAATGTAAAATTATCAAAGGAAGGATCTTGATCGTTTTTATCAGCTGGAAACAAGTAGCCAGCTAAAGACAAAAGAAGTAGCATGTTGAATTCTACCCTTCAAAAAGAAGACAAGTAAACAATATGTATAACAGGGAATTTCCTAAGATCCCAATAATTCTAGAGCATGGAAATTCATCTACTGTTCGCTTACCTAAATATGCTACATTAATGTACTATGGCAATTCAAGAATATACTGATGGACATCTGGTATTGAGATCAGGAAATGTCACCTGTGATTGGAGGAGACCTCCAAATATATACTGAATAAGTGTTGTTTCTTGAGAACGAGGAGGCACTATTTTTTCTCCACCGAATTCTTCAAGGCAAACAGACTGCATCATATCAATCGCATACCTGCAGTATGTGAATTGTATAAATCCGTCAGTTGGGAGATTCACAGACTAAATGAGTAATTAGCTATTTTCAAGAGTAAGAGATACTGACCTCATGAACTCATGAGCATCCTCCTGTCTTCCATACCCAAGAGTTCCACCAATATTAGTTAACCGTGAAATAATGTTCATTGGTGAAAAAGGGAACCGACTTTGACTCGCTCTCTCAACATGGGTTTGAAATTCACAGAAGAAGCACCAATCGTTGTGCATACCTGTCAACAAAACATAGAATCAAAGCTAAATCGCATACAGAAAACCAAACGAAAGAGTTTGAAGCATTAGTGCAAAAATGAAAAGAAAGAAGTTTTACATTCTCTCTTGTGGCCTTTCTCCAGCAAATATGCAACAAGAGGACGTGTCCAGGAAAGGCATTGTAGAATCACATTGGCGAAACAACTGAAAGAGGAGTAAAGACGATCATATTCAAGGGACAGAAAAAAAAACAAACTCCACTCCTTCGACTGATGCTTTTAAGCAATACTAGAAAGTAGATGAACACAAACCTATTTCCACAATTCATGAGCCCACAGGGGGCCAATTCTGGATTGTCCCAGTTAAAATATTCAACAAATTCTTCATATGGAAAAAGAACCTGCAGAAGATGCAAAACAAAAGTACTAGTAAGATTAACACAATGACTCCATCAAGAGAGTGTCAACAGGAGTTTCAGAAAAAGAAGACACATTACTTCTCTTGGCTTGAGACTACTCTTGTTTTGGGCCCGTTCGGAAATCAGTGCAATATTAGAAGCAGAACTATCCCCGAACGGAGAAGCTCTGAACCTTAAGCCATTCTTTGCAGATGGTGTTAATGTAGTAATCCCATAATCCTTGCACTTTCTTTGATGACCCGAGCTCCAGTCTGACCTTTGGCACTCTGCTGAGCTGATAGTAAACAGACCATACAGACAAAGGTACTTAAATTAGAAAAAATGCACTAAACCAACTTTAAACACACAAGATGATCCAAGATAATCCAAACTATCTGAGCTCATACAAGTTAAGTTCACAAAAGTATCATAGCAACAACTTCCAAACCCATGATTCTTCTATTGAAAAGCTAAAGACTTTGAAAGAATTACATATCCAAAATGCACTTAAACCAACTTAAAAACACAAGGTGATCCAAGATAATCCAAACTATCTGAGCTCATATAAGCTAAATTAGTAGCAACTTCCAAACCCAGGATTCTTCTATTGAAAAGCTCAAGACTTTGACAAAAATTACATATCCCAAGCTCGAGATAATCCCAATAAAGAGATTGAAATTGAGGGCATACCAGTATCTAACGGATTTGCAGCGGGAGCATTTCTTGGTGGAATAATTCCCACAGACAGAGCAATCCTCAGTATCAACCGCCATGAAGTCCCTGTCGAAACCTCCGGCGGCGGCGGCTCCGATGTCGAAGTACTTAGCGGCGGTGTTTTTGAGAAAGTAAAAAACACCAACGGCGAGGAAGAATAGAGTCGCTATGAGGCGAGTGAAGACAGAGAGATCCAACGGAAAACCAACCTCATGCATCTAATTCGCTTCTTGAAATCATCGATCTTCTTCTTCCTTCTCGTTTCTTGTGTGTCTTTTATATATTTCAAGAACTCACTTTTTTTTTTTTTTTGTCTGTACTTCTTGTATTACCGCTTCGTTGATTTTGTTACTTCGTAGAGAAGACAGTGTCTTCTATGTTGTTGGGTTGGGCCTCTCCAATGCAATTTTACAAAGATTGGACCTTTATGTTTTTTGTTGTTTTCCTTTTTCCAACTATGTTTTTTGTCCTTATCTTGTAATATTTCCTTTTTTGGCAATTTACTTTTCTCTTATCAAAAACTAAAATCATATGAAAAATGTACTATAACTAGATTTTAACCCGCGGTACACCGCGGGGCTATATTTTCTTAAAAAAATCAAAATGTAATTTGTTTGATAGATTATTTTGATTGTTAATTTTAGGATTTCACCCGTGGTATACTATCTTTTATAAATATCAACCCAAACCCGTCCCATTATATTACCCGTCCCATCATATTACCCGTCCCGTGAAATTAAACATCATTTAGTTATTTTTCTTTTTAATAATACTTTTATTTAAAAGCTATATAATTCAAGTCAATTTAAAAATTTCTTTTAAATGGTTCCCATAAGATATATATATACATATATATTAAATTTGTATAGAGTTGAAATAATATTAATATTACAAACTTTTTATATAATTTAAATATTATAAATATTTTTAAAAATATGCAATATATATTTTTTGTTATTGAATAAGAGGTTATTATGTGTAAGAAATGTAGAAAATAAGAGTTTAATATTTTTATTATGGAGTCGCAAGAAAAATCTTTTATTTCTATACATGTTATTCGTTTATTAATAATAAAAGAAAACAAATCCTTTAAATTAGATATTAACTAAAATAAACACACCATAATTACTTATTAAGTAACAACCAATAAATTTCACCAAAAAATAGGTAACAACCAATAAATTTTAAACGCAGTAATTAAAGAATGAGATATTAAAAAAAAATATCAAATAAGATATAAGAATCTTAAAATAATTGAATATCTAAATAATTTAATTGTTAGTGTCGATTTTAATGCCTTCATTAATGTGGATTTTTTTTTTAGAGAGAAATATTTCCTAAAGATTATCACATTAATGACTCAGAAAATTAAGGAAGATATGAATTTATGATTCTCGAAATCGTGTTGGTAATATCTTTAATTAATATTTTTCAAATTTAAATAATTAATGCCAATGGCATTCATCCGTAAATACCAGTGTTCTAAAAAGCGGTCTAGGCGGTCGCCTAGGCCCCGACTAGGCGCTAGACTCTCATGCGATGCCTAGATAACCGCCTTGACCGCCTAAAATTACATAGATCTTGTTTAATGTATTTTTTCAATTTTAATTAGAGTTTTATTTATATATATAGTTATAAATATTCATATATTGTTTGAATATAAATATAATTAAATGTTTTATCTAGTTTTTGTTTATAATTTCATAATTTTTAGTTTTATTAGATATTTTATATAACTTTTATATATGATATCATATTTATTATGTTTTATGTTATAAACGTCTAAACCGCCTAAAAAATCGCCTAGGCTCCGATTAGGCGTTCTAGGCGCTAGGCATTGGGTCACCGCCCGCTTAACGCCTAGCGCTTTCTTGAACACTGGTAAATACATTCCAACTCCAGGATTTATTTGCTAAAAGTCATCCAAAAATGTATATATAGATATAACAAAATACAATTTTGGATTCTAGAATTTTATGAAAATAAAAATATTAAGTCCGCCCTAACAATAAAAATCAAAATCAAGCTTCTCCATGACCTGAGTCCATGACCATGCCAACTCCATCTCCATATTCACCACGAAGCACCTCATCGGTTTTGTTGCTCACTTCGAAATCATCATCCCCGGCTACTACGTTTGGACTAATGTTCTTGATCGTCTCTTCTCCTTTTCCCTGAATCGGTACTGCCGTTACTGATGAATGATTATGGGATCTTTCTTTTTGGTTCCGTAGTACTCGTTCACCGTTGTTTCTATTGTTTCTAACAACCGATCACCGTACTTACTTACTTTAGCCCTGGAAGAAAGTTTAAAGATACAAACCATCATCAAATACTCTTGGATTTTCGTCATTGGTTTGGTGATTAAAAGTACTAGAAGTTTCGAAAGCATAAAAACTACTTACTGCACAAGGCCATTGATTTGGAGGAGTTCCTCTTTGGTTCTCGGAATTTGCCTGCTTATCTGCTGAAGCGTTGAATTCCTGCCACCACAAACAGATTAAGTACATAACTTGGAAGATGAGAAGTGGAATGGCGTTTCGGACTAACATGAATATCTGATATGCCATGACACCATCAGGGCCTTCTCTGGCAAGAGCTGTACGAAGCTTCCTCACGGCTGTGTAAATGTTGAAGGAGAGATTCTAGAGAAGAAGATCAACAAACCAACCTCAGCAATTCAGAGTGGTAGATTAATGTCAACAAGGAAAAAAGACTGAACTACAAAGAGATATACAATATCTATTGGAAGACCATCTTTTGTTGGAAGTGGAAGAGTACTTTGCTTCTCTGATGCTAGCGGATCTTTTGCTAGGGTTGCCCCCGGTTTACTTGAAGTTGTTGTTTTATTCCCATTATCTTCTGTCCTCTCTGTGCCAAAATTTTTAGAGAACCGAGTAGACCCAAAATTAAAAGTAAAGATTGCTATACAAATCATACCTAACTTGTTGATTTCCTGCAATGAAATTTCTAGCTTCTGTTCCGTTGTGTCGAGCTCTGCCCGAAAACGTCTGATACTAGTTAAAGCATCTACAACGCTTTGTTTCACCTTAGCCAACTGATTTGAGACAGAGCAAGGTTGCGTATGCTGCAAGTTTTCTTGATTACCACTGGACTTGTTAGATGCTCGAGGGGGTACTCTATCTTCAGCTGTCTTCTCTCTCATATCAAGCTTCGGTTCAGTCTCCTGGCTCAATTTTTGGACTCTAGCTCTCTTGTGTGCCTGAGCCTCTGCTTCAAATGGTGGTTGATCCAACTGTATACAAATCGTTATTTGATTAACTTCAACTTAGTAAAACCTAAAACGTGGAATGCAAGCAATTTGATGTTCTTACTGACCTTGGAGATGAACTTAAGCAAAGGAGTTACACCTCCTCGGATCAATTCTAAAATTAGAGACTCCCCTGCGCTTATTTCATTGGCGGCGCAGAACTTTTTCCAACCATTGCCACTAATAATATACATCAAACCAGTACTTTTGTCAACCTTAAGCTCCATCAACCATTCAGCTCGGTTTTTGTCCACCAGAACTATCTTCCCCGGATTTATGAGTCTGTTCTCTCTCGTGAAACTTACCGGTAGATGCTGCAACATATTCAGAATTAAACAGCAATGCACTTAAAACCGAGAATGTGGTTTTGAAAAGTCACCTGTTTACCAACGTGAAGACTGTTTAGTGTAGGAGTTAACTTCACAAACCGGCTTCCTCCAGTTTTGTCATCGATGCAACCTTCCGCGGACTGGATTTTCCTCTCCGACTTTGTACTGCTGCAGAGCTGAAACACAGGCGTTTCCGCCGTTTTTTGGAGCAGTCTAAATGTGCAAGAATCTCCAACTTCTAGTTTATTTGCAGTGCAAAAACTTGTCCAACCTCGAACAATGGAAAGCCGACAATCCCCCCATCTCTTTAACTCTGATTCCCATGTCTTTCCTTCTCCGTTCATCAAAAATATCTCTTGCCTTTCTTTGTTCAAACCATTTTGCTTAGCGAAATTAATGGGGAAACCCTGCATCAGTCATCAAAGTATATTGGGGGGTTAAATTCCTAAAAGCGAAACATTAAAACAACAAAGAAACTGATAATCTTGCTAACCACTGTATCTCTTGATAGGTTTGAAGCTGTCACAGATCGGCTAAAACAATTGAGATTAGGCGAAGACTGATCAGATTCTGTTTTCACATTCTCCTCAACTTCCTTCTCAGATCTTAAAGATATTTCTGAATCAGAAAATGAAACGTTTCAAGCATAGAAAGACTCTCTCAAGAAATGTAGATGCGCATTGAATCATACCAGTTTCGTTACTCTCTTCGTCTTCTTCATGGCGGCGAGGCTGTGCGTATTGAATCTCACAGCAACTAGGTCCTAAAGCAGTGACATTGAACAACATTTCTCCTTCATGTCTAAAGACGACAAAGTCACTAACTCGAAGATCATGTGCCTTCACGAACTCTTTCCAACCTTTAGTGAGTCTATTACCCTCCATCTTCACTTTCCATGTTCTTTCTGACGCATCTGATCTCAAATTTACAGTCTTTCCCTCGTGTTTTCCCTTGATGTGATCGGAGAAGAACTTCACAGGAATGTTCTGCAACAAATAAACAGAGCATTGAGACTATATCCTCATATATAGATTGAGAGAGAGACATAGACAGAGAGATAACGTACAAGGTGACTATCGAAACCTGGAAGCAGAGGCTGGAAGAAGTGTGGGTTTGTTCGAGACAACGGTGATGCATTTGCCATTAGCGATCACTTCCACAAACCCAAACACTTTTCTCGGCTATATATTAGTAACAGGAAAAAAAAAACAAAGAGAGATTGTTGTCTCTTCAGAATTCAGACCTCTCCGTTTCCTCTTCTTTTACTCCACTTTTTCTGCTTCACAATAAATGAATTGGGAAAGACTTAAATTTCTTTCAAGTTTCAAAATATTCTAAATTAAAGATACATTTTAAACTCGAAATAAAAAACCACAGAACACTAGATTCAATTATAATCAGTGTTTATACTTTCTAAATCGTAAAATCTGATAAGCAAAAAGATGCGACGTTAAGTAAATTTATTTTCGGCTATTTTTAAAGAGAGAAATGAAAAAAAGAAATGGGGTGAGAGAGGCTCGAACTCTCGACCTCAGGATCACTCTATAGCTATGAGACCTACGCGCTAGCCAACTGCGCCACCACCCCCTTTGTGATATCTCCCACTATAAAAAAATTTATCCCCAAACTTCTACGTTGCAACTTGTGCATGTATCCATCGTTAGTTCTACGTGTGGTCCATCCAGTTCCTCGCCAGATTTACAATGAATGTTGACTTGTACCTATCCACGAGATTAGGTACACTACGTAGACCATATAGTAGTCAAATTGTTTCAAATGCAATTTGTGCATTTATATTTTTGGAATATGTAACATTTCAACTACTCGTAATATATTTTTAAAAATACACACTAATACAGATACAAACGGCTGTTTATACATTTTTTAGCGTTTTGCGTTTATAATTAACAAAACTAAATGTAAAAAAGATTGTGGATTCATGTGCATACACAGTAACGTTGACTAAATATAAAAAAAAATGCGTACACATTACCGTTCTAAATCCAAAACGTATAGAGCCAGCGGAAGGAACTTGCCAAAGCGTGAAAGCGACAGTGTATTTTTGCACTTCTCCAAATGTGGTTATTATTCCGAATCTAAATGTAAACATACAGTATATAATCGAAGTCTAAAGCCTCAATTAATTTAAGTATTATCTCTAGTTTCACTTTTCGTTTGCCTAACATCACTCAAACTAACCAAGAAACTTAGTCCCTAAGAACATGATTATCCATAGTGTCTTAGAAATAAATCTTAGAAATATTTAAGTAATATATTTGTAAAATATGGATTTTAACTATGTTTTTGTTGCTTAGCTAAGAAACTCTCTTAGCAATAATGGCTTCATTGAGATTTAATTTTAATCATTTATTGCTAAGATCCAGCTTAAGATTTTCTTAAGAACCTGCCATTAACAGGTTTATGCAATTAGGTTTCCTATTGATAGCCTCCATTTGGAAATTGGAACCAACCACGTACGTCGTCTTCGTAGATTATCACGTGATGGTTCACATTGTATCCCTTGTCAAGTCTTCATGAATTACATTATTCCTGGCCTTATTATTTTTGTTGGTTATAAAAAAAAAAAAAAAAAAAAAAAAAAAAAAAAAATTGGCAAGGTTATAATATTACGTCGATAAATTTGAGTTTTGACATATTTTTTTTTTATATTAATCGATGCAAGCAAGATTTAGAAAATTTTCAGAATAAAAAATTGAGACATAAGGTGAATTTTTAGACTGATATAGACAATGCTTTCGTTAATCCACATGAATATAAAATTTAGGCAACAATCGTAGTCATGGGTCACCAAATGTCCAAATCAAAAGCCGGTACACTTAGTTTGAGATTTCTCCCTATAAAATGGCACTAAGTTTAACCCTTGTTTGAAAAATCGCTAGGCGCTAGTCGGGCGCTCGGCATGGGCCTAGCGATTAATCGGAAAATCGGACTAAAATCGGGGATTAATCGGGGATTAGTTTTAGGGTTATTTTAATATTTTTAAAACATATTAATCCAATATTATTTTCAAAATTGCAGTAAACACATAAAAATGTATTTTTGAGACAAATTTTTATGATTTTTATTACAAATTTATGATTTTTATTAAAATTTGAACATAAATTATTGTAAAACATTACAAACTCTCAATTCAAATGATTGAATAACAAAAATAAAAAGTTTTTTTATACTAGCAATCTAAAAATAATCGGGGTATGTAAGATTAGGCGGAGAATAATCGGATTAGGCGGGAAGTAATCGGATTAGGCGGAAAGTAATCGGGTGACTGATTTCTTTAAGGGATTAGTCATTAATCGAGGCGGATAGGGTGGGTCTAGCGATTAAGCGGGGAGTAATCGGGTCTAGGCGGGGATTTTTAGAACAAGGAGTTTAACTGTTGAAACCATCCTTTCTTTCCATCTCTACCTTTGTTATCCATCTTTTTCTATTTTCTAACCAACGACAACAATGACAAACCATCATCAAGAGTACTTAACCACTTACCCTAAACCGGGTCCAACTAAAGAACAAGAAAAAATTGACGAAAAAATGATGAGCTTGCAAATGCAAGCGTTGGGGGATCACGAACTCATTGGCTTTTCCCATGGTTTTCAAAGCTGCCTTGGAGCTTGGCGTCCTCGACACGATTGTTGCCGTTGACGACGGCGTATGGCTCTCGTCTTCGGAGATAGCTTTTGGTCTCCCTACCAAACCCACCAACCCAGAGGCGCCAATTTTGCTAGACCGTATGTTACGGTTACTCGTCAGCCACTCGATCTTGAAATGTCGTATAGTTGAAACCGGAGAAAACGATCTAACCGGAAAGACCCAAAGGGTATATGCAGCCGAACCGGTTTGCAAGTTTTTCTTAAACCGTGGTGTCAAGTCAGGTTCTCTCACGTCCCTATTCATGTTGCTCCAAAGCCAAGTCTTTTTCAAAACTTGGTACGTACCTAATTATTTGCAAATCAGCCAAATTAGTAGTTGATCCTCAATTATATCAAACCGGCTAATTATAACCTTCTTAATTATTAAACTAGTATAGTAGTATGCGATAAAAGTACTCTATACGTACTTTCAAATATCAATGAAAACAATTGAAGATTTGTTACAGGACACATCTGAAGGATGTGATATTACAAGAAGAAAAAGATGCATTCAGCTCTGCCCATGACATGAGACTCTTCGAATACATTGGGTTGGACGAACAATTCGCTGGTATGTTAAACCAGGCAATGTCAGAATCTTCTACCATGATCATGAAGAAGATTTTCGAAGTTTACAAAGGATTCAAAGATGTAAATACTTTAGTTGATATTGGGGGAGGACTTGGCACCATTCTAAATCTTGTCACTTCCAAGTATCCTCAAATTAAGGGTATCAATTTCGATCTAGCCACGGTATTAGCTAATGCTCCATTTTATTCAGGTACAAACAGTACTAGTTGATAAATTTGACAAGTTCTTATTGGAGTGTGCTTTTCGACAACTATCTTGAATAATATTTTTTTTAATATATCTTACCAAAATCGGTTATAGGAGTGGAGCATGTATCGGGAGATATGTTTATAGAAGTTCCAAAAGGAGATGCAATCTTCATGAAAGTAAGTAATATATACTACATTAGAATGAAAAAGTTATATAATTTATGATTAAGCTATTGTTTAGAAACTAAGATGGACAAATTGTTGGTAGTGGATATTACATGACTGGAACGACGAAGATTGTGTAAAGATTCTAAAAAACTGTTGGAAGAGTCTTCCGGAAAAGGGAAAAGTGATAATAGTTGATATGGTTACACCATCAGAACCAAAGAGTGACGACCTTTTCTCTAACATCGTCTTTGGTATGGACATGTTGGTGTTGACACAATGTTCGGGTGGTAAAGAGAGGTCTTTTTCTCAGTTTGAAGCTTTAGCCTCTGCTTCGGGGTTTCTTAAATGTGAAATCAGTGCTCTTGCTTATACATATTATGTTATCGAAATCCACAAGTAGAGAGGAAAAAGAAAAAAGAAGCAATATTCGTAAGAGGAAATTATGAACTATAAATGTTTTTCTTGAATGGTTTTTTACTTGTTTGTAATAAAGATTTGTTTTTCAGCCAAGAGTGTGTTTCTTGTTTAATATCAACAAAATGTAATAATTCTGCTGAACAATGTAAAAAATGTTGGTGCCAACTTCCAACTAAGGCTGTGTAATAATAGTTGGAAATAGAAGTACTTTATGCTAAACTAAATAATTGGTGTGTTACGTTTTGTGTTGTCTCTCTACGGCGAATTAATTATATTAGCTGAAATTAATCCCAATCCAAACATGGAACGGAAGAATCTGCGCAAGATTTGATTGAGGTCTCGGCGGCAAGAAGAAGACGAACGGGCCATCGTTGCCATCCGGTTCCCAGCTCCAGTAAGCTTTTCCGGCGCTAGACGAACTTGGATCCACAGAAAATTTTGCTTTCAATTACCCCTTCTGGATTGTTGTTCTTCTTATTGCTATTGGCATGCTTGGGTGAGTTTGTTAGGTGTAGATTCTGGGTTCATTCTGAGCTGAATCTTTGACTTGGTAGTTTCGGGAATTCAATAAAATGCTCTTTGCTTCTTCGAATGCATAATTTTTGCTATAGACAATCGGTGCTTTAGGTCACAAGGGGAGCAGATTCTTAAACTTTATATATCACAATGAACAATGATCATCAGGATCCTAGGAAGTGTCTCTTTTGTTTGGGATTTTCAAAGATGTAATGAATCTCATAGGAAATAAGGAAAGGAAAACAAAAGATGTGCAGTGCTAACTTTGATTGTCATGGTGTTCTGGGTTTGCTCCTTCTTGGTCATTCTTTGGCATGCCTTGACCTGAGGAGCATTGACATTTCGTCACCTCTTTTATGTATGACTTTTGATCTGGCGTTTTGAACTTTTCCCACAATACTCGCATGTTTCTTTGATCTGGGTTCTCCTTCAAGAATTGACACACAGATATACCCAATGCTATAGCGCAAACTATGGCGGCAGCAAGAAATAAAACCCAAAAACTATCAAAGCCAAGTTGGCGGAAGGATACTGAGGGGTTTGGATCAGGGTTAGTGAGCGGATCTGGGCAACTTTCATCTATTGGCTTGAACCATGCATTCTCGAGTTCGTTTGCCTTGTTTGACTCTTCCACTTTCAGAATGGCCCTTGAAATATCAGCCACTAGAGGGGATCCAATGGGAAAGACCTGCAGAACAAACTTATGGTCTTAGCATTTGATGCAAGATGAATGCAAGAGAGAGTTCTATGCATAGTGATGGACTTACGAAGCCTAATCCATCGACCTTGAACGGTGTTTGAACCAGTTTATACTTGTTACAGTATTGTCCAAGAAAAGTTCTCACGTAAGGTACTTCCATGAAAGCCGCAGAAATACCACCCTCTGCTGGTCCTTTGCTCAGTAGCGCATCACAGTTTTCTGGTGACCCATAGGATACAAGACTAGTCTCTGAGAAACCTGAGTCTCTGAGTCTTTCCAAAATGAAGGAACTTCTTTGATATCCCACAGATTCTCCTTTTGCCAGCAAGCTATTTATGTTGGTTACCGTTGGATGAAGCTGCTGTGATGTAAGAAGCGATGCCAAACTAGCAGTGTAACTCGAAGTCAACACAAGTACTAAGAAGTACCAAATGATAACCACGAGCCTTGCCCAGAAGCTAAGCACTCTTTCTCCTGTAGATACATTAAGGTGTAAGCAAGATGATTTTTGGAAATAGGTGCAGCACTAAAGTATGTGAAAAATGAGCATTGGCAATTGCAGTGTAATGGACAGAGGGAGCATACTCGGCGCAAAGACCATAATGGAGAAAGCAAACCAGAAGATAGTGCTGATTTGATACTGGCCAGGCCCACCAAAGTCTGGGTTTACCCTATGTTCAACAACCCATACGACAAGGCCAATAATGAAAAAGGACAAAAGGCTGATTAGCCAAAGTGCCAAAGTCAAAGGCATCAAAAAGATGGTACTGCTTCTTCTAACACTGTCTTTAACAGGGACGACCAGACCTACGCCTGATGGTGTGTATGGCAATGAGAAATCAACATACATTGACCTATTTGCCGATATTGTTGTATCTGCCACCACAGCATCATATTTCTGCTCCAAACATAAAGAACATGGACGTGGTTTCAACAATCAAGCTCAGTAAAGATTAAGCATATAAAGAAGAATAAATGGTCAGTGTCTCTCACCCCAAGATACACTTGGTAGACTAAGGTATCATAATCACCATCTTGGAAAGGAATGAAGTCATAGGAAACATCATAGGGCATCGCTTTAATTACAGCCTCAAAGTAGTCAATGCAGAATCCACTGAAAATTGTTGAATTGGTGATAGGATCCCTTGTAGCCTTTACAAATTGTTGAAAACTGTTCTTAACTGGGACTTCTATCCGCAGCCTTTTCCCATTTGTCGGGATCTCCCATCCTTTGGGTACGGAAGTAGTGTCTCCAGGCCATATAATTGGTCTGAGTCGATCTTGCCAAGAAGAGAAAGTGGTCTCGGTATCTGGTTTTTGGTCCACGTTCTTCAATAGACCATACTCTTTCATCCAGAATCCTATGGTCCTTCCTCCTTGCCCATTCACATTAACAATCTCAAAGACTGATGGCTGTAGTTCTCCATTGATAAATTGGAAATCACCAGCAAGACCTTGGAACCGAACTCGAGAGAGTGTCTGGAGAAGTTTTGGACCATATTGAGATAAACCTAGTCCTTGAAGTTCAGACACGTTCCTCATGGCATCCGTCTTGAAAAAGGTCAAATTTGATGTCCCAGCTTCTTCCATGGCCAATGCCAGTGCAGTGGTGGCATCATATGCCCACAATCCATATACGTTCAGGTCAGAAATTGGGATCTCTTCGTCCATCGAGATCTAAAGTTATCAAGCTCTTTGGATCTTGGGACATAAGTCTTTACACCCAATACCCCTTGCATTGTTTCAATTTCCGTCTCGTTCATGATATTTAGAACATCGGTAATTGCGTTGGTGAGGATCCAGACATATCCTTGTTTCATCAAACCAATTTCCGTTGCTTTCGCAAAAAATCTTGAGGCAAGCAATTCAACAGTGTGGACAACAAATACTCTAGTGGGTAGAGTCATCATCCGGAAAAGTTCCACAGAGATTTCATCATCCGTGGCATTGGGAGAGATCACGGTCCTATAAGGTATACGGACGTTAATCTCTTGTAACGCATCTGTAAGACGAGGCATTATACCTTCGCCAAATGTGTCGTCAACGTATACAGGTGCAACCTCTCTCCACCCAAAAAGTTTGATGATTTCTTTGATGGCGTGCACTTGAGATGAATCATCATACGTAGCCCGAAAGAAGTATTGACTACGGATGGAAGCAAGGGACGGACTTGTTGCAGAATATGTAACAATCGGCACCTGAGATTTTTGTCCCATCTCAATCATGAATTGAGCCTGCATCGAAGTCCATGGCCCTAGAATCGCTTTCACTTCCTTGTTCGTTATCAGATCAAGAGCTGTGACAAAGTCAATGCCAAGGAATGTTTTGTTATGCCAAAAAAAACATTGGATGAGAAAGCATTAACGTAGAAAAGAAGTGTGCATATAAACTGGTGGTCGATGACACATATAAATAGCTCAATGCATGCAATTCAGAGAAATGGGAATACGTGTACCCGCTGCTGCTGCGATAACAACATCATTTTTGGAGTCACAATGGTGGTTACAAGCCTTGTCTGGGTTTCTGTATGAGAAGAGTAGAAATCAGAGAGAGACATGTTGATACAGAGCAAAGTCATGTTGGAGTATGCCATTCCGACATCGTTCACGATTCCCACATTTACATCGGTTGCCCTCTTTTGTGCTTCTCCGACTTGCATCAGGAAGACGATGACAAAGAAGAGCAAGCTGAGAACGAGGTTGTTTTGTCTCTTCATTTTTTTTTCTTTCTTCTTGTTAGCACTTGCCGGAAAAGAACGAAACTTGGTGGTCTATATGGTATGCTTTTTGTTGTAGCATGAGAGGCTTTGGGAATTGGAGAAGACGTGATATTGTTAATTATGAACTTGTTGAATGTATTAAACTCCAAAGTATATAATAATCTAGGCTCCAACTTGTAATTTTGCCAACAATTAAAGTCAACTGTTGCGAAGGAGGAGACTTCGTCTCATTCATAAAAGATAAAACCATAGGCAAAAAATTCTTTCAGAGAATCGTAGTTTACTCTTGTTCTCAATCTCTCTCTGAGGAGATAATTTCTTACCAATAGAACAAACAATCACAAATTAAGTTGTGGCGAGAATACTACTACTAATATGAATAGACAGAGCCAGCAGCAATGAAGTCAAAACGAGAAGTTTCGTTATCCACTAAGCGAAAAATTCCACAGAGAGATTTTTTAGTACATTTATCAAAAAGAGACAGAAAATTTACAAATGTTTGCATGATGATCATCATCAATATTGTGATATTATGTATATTCAATCTCACAGAAACTAGGTCCCAATGCAGTGACATGAAACACCAAATCTCCTTCATGTCTGAAAACAATGACATCACCAATAAAAAAATCCTGAGCTGTGACAAACTCTTTCCATCCTCGGGTGAGTCTCCGGCCATCTTCAATTTTCACTTCCCAAACTGTATCAGAAGCGTCAGCTCTCAATTTCACAGTCTTGAGGTCGTTTCGTCCTTGGAGGTGCTTCAGGAAGAAGGTTACAGAAATTTTTTGCAACAACATGAAAATATTTTTTAAAACAAAACCATCTCTTACAATAATAACCTACACTTTACTTTTAGAAGAGGGACAGAGACAGATTACGAGGTGGGAGTGGAATCCGGGAAGTAGAGGCTGCAAGAAATGTGGGTTTGTCGGAGATTTAAGAACTGGATCCGCCATTCTCAAGTATAGTCGATGAAGCTTATCTCTTGAGAAGAATATTTAACAAATAGTTCTACTTTTTTTTGTCTTATAGAAAACTGGTGGATTTTCTATTTATCCAAAAACACCTCAAAAGAAACAAACCCTAACCTCACCTCAGCTACCAAAATGTTTCAGCTTTGTCAGATAGATACCGTTAATTTTTCATCATGAATAGGCTACAATATATTTCAGAACAGAAAAGTTTCGATAACTTTTATTAGTGACTTCGTTAACCTCGTCTCATATGACTCAATGACTCAGCAATCCATCTAAACATTAAAAATCAAATTTAGAGATTTTAGTTAATTACTCTGTTCTTCCAAAGACAATAAATAAAACAACAAGACTTGATCTAATAATAATATTCAGACATAGATTGGTTCCTCCTTGACCTTAGAGCAAAACCTAAGGAGAGGAGTATTATTTTCCCAAGTCAGCTTCAACTTAAAAGGCTCGCCTATCTTCAGTACATCATTAGCTTCACAGAAAAGTTTCCATCCTTTTCCCAATCCTCTTCTTCCATAGTTTGGTCCATCGTGCACCAACCTCGTTAACCGCTTCACACCATGTTTATCCATCAGAATGATCTTCTCGTGCTTTCTGGTAATGCCATTGATCTTTGTGAATTCTACCGGAAGATTCTGCACAAGATTTCAAAACCAAAATACACAAAGATTTGTTAAAATCGTAGAAGAACAAGAAAACATAATCAGAAACCATCCAAGACCACACGAGCTTACAATTTTGGAGTATTTGATATTGTAAGCTGTGAGACTGAGTGTGACGAAGCTGTTTTGTCTTGAAGATGATGAAGCTACCCACATACGACGCTTCTTCGTCTTTTTCTTCCCTCTCGCTATGCCCATTAGCTCCGAACATGCTTCTTCTGGACAGATACAGAGCATTGGAGTAGATCTCCCGTCTCCAACTAGATTAAACGTGATTAAATCTCCTTCTTTTTGTCTGTTTTCAGAACAGAATCTTTTCCAGCCTCCTCTAATGTAATAACTTCCTTCTGATTCTCTAAATCTCAAATTCAATGTCCAAGAGTTTCCCTCTTTGTTCACTAAAATTATCTTGTGACATCTCTTGTTCAAAGCTTTGGAGCTAGAAGCTTTCTTTGGAAGATTCTGCAACACATATCAACAAGTATGTTATATATACATCATGAACATGATTTTTATATGTGATAAGAAGAGTGAAGTAAGAAAGTACTCACCATTGTGTCAAATTTTAGGTTTGAAGCAGTGACGTTTGCTACAAAACAGTAATCGTATGATAAAGATAATTTTAGCTCTGTTTTGGGTTTCAGATTCTTCTGCCTTAAACCCTTTCCTGGATCATAGAAACAGTTTCGTTTTTATATCATAAAGATTCCCACAGATATAATCATCTCGGTGGTCTTGGATTCAAGCAATCAATAAGAACAAAAAACTCAAACTTACTAGAGTTGTGCTGATTCTCCATGTCGTCTTCATCGTCATGGACATTGTCGTCCTCCTTTTTGATGAGACATTGTACGTACTGAATTTCACAGCAACTAGGACCGAAAGGTGTCACACTAAACAACATGTCCCCTTGGTGTTTGAAAATAATGATGTCGCCGATTTGAAGATTATGTGCTGTTGCAAACTCTTTCCAGCCTTCAGTGAGTCTCCGGCCATCCATTTTCACTTGCCAAATTCTATCAGAAGCGTCCGATATAAGTCTCGCCGTTTTCTGCTCGTTTTTCCCTTCAATGTGCTTTGAGAAGAATGTAACAGGTATTGACTGCAACCAACAAGAGACAACATTTAAAACAAAACCTACTCTGAAAGATAGACGGAAACAGAGCGAGAGAGAGAGAGAGAGTGTGCGTACGAGGTGAGTCTCGGAACCGGGAAGAAGTGGCTGGAAGAAATGTGGATTGGCCGGAGACTGAAGTGGATGATTCACCATTTCTTACAATTCAGGAAAACAAAACTCAAGAATCTGAATCTTCAACTTTCTTTGGGATGAAGACAATACCAATGTGTTGTTGTCTTTTTAATATGGAGTAGGCTTTGTAAAAGCTGACGAAAGGTTGAGGTGAAGAATATTCCGTTCATATGATAAAGTAAAAAAAAAACAGGAACAGCTTTTTTCAATTGCTAGATTCCAAAAATCACTTTTGTTATTGAGATCCCGCGGTTACAAAGGGGGATAATCTAACGGTTAAAAAGATACAACAGAGTGTGGCAATATTTCAAGTTAGATCAGAAGTACTAGGGTTCATGATTGCTATATGGAAATATACTTTTGACTATGCTCTGGCTTTTCTGCAAAACGCTTTTTGTGGTTGTTCAATCCTACAGTATTCAGTTAATCACAAGGATGGATACTTATATCTTATTATCACGACTTGGAGACTTGCAAGAATGGTGGATAAGTGATGTAGAACCACCCGAGAACAAACAATAAAGGAATATACATGTAATGTAGTAAGTAATTGATGACTAGCAAGACAAGTGTGTTTTGTTTTTAAATGAAACACAACAGAGAATCAGGGATCTGACACACATGGCCGTCCTTACTAGGCAAAGATGATGATGAAGAATTCCTGGTTTCTATTCGTCCCTTGTCGCAGGATCCATTCCAGTCGAAGGGCTATCAGCAAAATATTCTGGATGCTTCACGTTCACACCATACTGCCAAACCGAGTTTTACTCATATGAGTTAGCTTTCCACTACTAATTAAGACGAGATGGTAAAACCCTATCTACCTACACTACTGCAATGCACAATATTAGAATGACTAACTCTAAGACATGTTTCTAAGCATTTTATGTTGATTCTGTGATACTGAATTAGTTTCATGCCATGTGTATTTAGAGTAATGGTCAATGCTTCATTTGCAGCTTAAGTAAAAAAAACAAGAGGCATCAACATTGTCTTCTCATACTTTGGAGGTCTGTGGGTCAACACCACCAGAAGCATGAACTTAGAGGAAAAAGCATTTACCTCACGCAAAGCTTTTGAAAGATCTTCCATAGTCAATATCAAACGCTTATCCTGTTAAGAAAACATTCATATTCATGATATAATCAAAAACATAAAGACAATTCATATTTGTTGTACAGGAAGAAAAAGAAAAAAAAAAGTGAGCCAGATTGTTACCTTTTGCTGTTTTTTGTCTTTCACAACTGGTGCTGGTCTAGCCTTGCAATGCCTGTGTATAATTCACAATTTGTATTATTCAGGAGCTTATATCAATGCTTTAAGCTTCTGAAAATCTAGCTTACACATCTTTCCATCTCATCTACTCAGAATGGGCAGCGTCTTCTCTTTGTCAATTACAAGTCAAATATGAAAAAGGGTATGATAATTTGTGGTGAAGAGAATGAAAACTTACTGAAGGGCGTCACTGGCAACATCTGCAACAAACTTTTGTGTAGCCACAGCAACCAGCCTTATCCTGTCAAACAAGTAAACAAAATATCAGAACATATTGGCAATAATACAGGAAAAGATTATGACAGGAGTACAAAACTCAACAACTAAAAACACCAATGTTAAGCACTCAATTCGAAAGAAAGAGAAGAATTCCCTCATTATTCTACGCATTCAATCTGAACACTGAAGTTTACATTCAAATTGCCAACCTTTTTCAGTGCTAGTCCAACATGGACTTCGTTATCATACTATTTTACAGGAATGTAAACAAGGCAAAACCTAAATCCAACATGGGAGAGTATGATATCCCAGAAGTAAACCCCAACTACAAGATTGCTGAACCAAATATACTAACACATGACAAACCAAGATATTGATCTAACTGCTGGTAAACCATTCTAACACCCAACAATGATTCCAAATAATAGCAACTTATCTGCTCTTTCATTGTAAGTATCACATATAATATAACCTGTCGGAAATACCTACAATCGTACGTCGGGGCACTGAAATCCACTCTTAGCCAAGTAGTGCTCCACTAAATCATCAGGAATCTGAAAGGAAAAACAAATCCAGAACTTAATCAATATCCAAGTTTCAATCACTGTAGAGCCAGAAAAAAGTTGAAAATAGTACAAAGGGAAAGTATACAGTAGGAGTATAATCCATCAGAGAAGCAAGGAACTCTGTAAGAGCAGCATCATCTTCATGCTTTGCCTCGCCAGATTGTTGGCCGTGATTCATCTCTCCCACCACCAGAGTACTGAAACGAAGCAACACCTGTACGTAAAAAAGCTTTTCAAATTTCGGAAACATTAATAGAGAACCTCTGAAAATGCTGAAAGATCAGATTCAGATCAGAGAAATCAACATTGCTAGTCTAGAACTAGTATCTACCCCAAATTAGAAACTTCATGACATTAGAAACTTCAATAATACCAAGAACTTATTATCAGTTTTACTGAAATTTTGACTAGAGAAACTTTCCAGCTCAATTTACTAATTCTCTATACCAGATTTGTCTTCTTTTCTGAAATTAGAGTTTCTAAGTGACGAACTATTCCTGATCATTGTGTTGCAAAAGATCACACCAAGTTTTGAATTGAACGACGTGAAGCATAGCAATAAGAGGGCTTCGTTTTTCAATTCATCAAGAAACAACATTCATGAGCAAAATTCGATACCACCCAAAAGAAATTTCAACCGATTAAAGACAAAATTGAGCTGAAATTGAAACCAGAGATATAGAGAAAAACTCAAGTAAGCGAACATGCGAACCTAAACGAAGCAGTAACGTGAAAAAGGGAGAGAATTGAGCTGAGACAAGGTAAATCAAAGCTAAAGAAGAGAAGTTTCGACGGATTTTGGGCGGGGAGAAGAAAGGATCGGAGAGTCGACGACTAGTGAGTCCCCGTTGAAACCCTAATTCTCCGACTGGTCCAACTCAAGAGCCAGCCATCTCCGCCGGTCAGATTTTTAAGAGTTGAGAAAGGTTCTTGAGATGGACCAATGGGCCTCTTAATTTAACCTATGGCCCAAAGTTAAGGGAATATTCTTTACATATGGCCCAAATTCCTCGAGAGGATTTTTTTTTTTTTTTTTTGTCTTCCCATCAAATCAAGTTTTTGAGTTATTAAAACAAAAAAGAAAAATCTAAGAATATAAAAACGAAATTGTCAATCAATAAAATCTGAAATTGTGACTTTAGTGTATAGTGTTGTACAATCTGCATAGTGCATATAGTGAACTTTATTTGATGGGAGACAAGGAATATGACAATGAGAGCACTAACTCAAATCCACCATCATCTAGACGGAATATTTAATGACCAACAAAAGCAGGTTTTGTTTCTCTTTTGTCAACTCATAGTCTTATTAGATTAGATATATATATAGAAAAAGACTTGAGGGTAGTTTTCTATATTCTACGAGAAGCAGGTGGTAAATTCAGTGAAGAAGGATTGGACTAATTCTCTCCGTAAGAAAGAGATATGATAACCAAATGTTCTTGGTCTAGTGGTTGCCACTTGTGGAGGAGTTGCCATGTTGGTCTAGGTCAGGGATCGATTCCCCGCAAGCGCGCAATCGTTAGATCTCCACTTGGCCACATGGATATGGACTCTTGCTTTCGGCCCATTTGCATACCCGGAGAGAGAGTCTATCTGTGGGCTGTACCTCCCCCAAAGGATTAGTCTGGGCCTCTCCATAGGTCTAGGATTCTTTTAAGTTAAAAAAAAAAAAAAAAAAAAAAGAGATATGATCAGGGGATTCCATTTTTTTGTTTTTTTGGTTAAATGGTGGATTCCATTTGTAGTTTTCTATCCACTATAAGACGAAAATACCAGATATATAAATCCCTATTTTCTCATAAATATCTTTCTAAGACACTATGTATAATGTATTTAGATTTAAACCATTTTCTTAAAGTTTTTTCTTTTGTTAAATATCATTTTCTAAAAGTTTTAATAACCATAAAAATCGTATTAAACCAAAATAAGAGACAGTTTAATCAAGAAGCCGATTTATCTAGTTATATCAAAAGGGCCAATCAGAATCTAATGTAAACTATATCCAAGTCTCATTGTCATGGAAAAAGATTTGATTTAATTTGACGATTTAAAAAAACGGTTGTTTAATCACGTATAAGAATATTTTTTGCTATAGGCTAGGACAGACAAAAGCTATATGGATTGATCTGAACTTCTCTTTAATTCTTTTAATCAAAGTATGGATATCAAAACCTATATATTCTTTATTTTTATTATAAATTGTATACTAAAATTTAATATTACTTAGGAATAATACAGAATCTAAAATGATTGTTTAAATAGTAAAAAATAATGTATCAAATCAAATCAGGAAGAAGCAAAACATGGTGGCCTATCAAATCGGTTTACTTTAGAAGAGGCGAATGAGCATTTCTAACGAAACAATGTTCATGTTAGGCCTGGGCAAAAAACCCGTACCCGAGTACCCGAACCGGACCCGACCCGAAAAAACCGGTTCGGGGCGGGTACGGGTATGTGAGTTTTACACTGTTGGGTTCTATAATTGCTTACCCGTAGGTATCGGGTCGGGTTCGGGTTTTACCCGATACCCGATGGTGTAAACCGAAAACCCGATCCGCTTAAATGCCCTTAGGTTTAGTCTCTAACCCGATTAACCTTTTGACTATTTAGCTTCTTCTCTTTGCTCGATTCTAGAACCCTAAACCCTAAACCCGATACCCGATGGTGTAAAAAATGTATTCCACAGTGTAAACGGGTAGAAAATACCCGAACCCGACCCGAAACAAGCAAGAACCGATATTTTCGGGTTTTTACCGGTTCTCAAATCTGATACCCGAACCGACCCGAACCCGACCATACCCGAACCGAAACCGAACCGATGTTTCGAGTTTACCCTATTGGGTCCTATATTACTATACCCGACATATCCGAACCCGATCGGGTTTTACTCGAACCCGACCCGCGGACCCGAATGCCCAGGCCTAGTTCATGTGATCTAAATGGAATATCGATCGACTTGTCAATGTCGTCGTCACCATTGTTTTTTTTTTTTTTGAAAGAGGATTTTGATCGTAAAAATACTTCTCTTCTTCTTCAAAAAAGAAACATTCAATAAAAAAAAACTTTTCCTTCGGCAGGAAAAAAAAAAGAAGAGAAACTCAGAGGCTTTTTCGTTGGCTTTCTTCCTCTCTGGCGGCCTCCACGGCGCTGTGAGAGGAACCCTGGTAGCTTTAATTTAGGTTTATTGCAGTTTAGTCGAAAGCCGGTGAGATTAGCGGTGGCAAGCGAGGTGGGCGTTGCGAGATTAGGGTTTTGTTTTGTGGAAGAGATGGTTCAGATCTGGCTCTGATGTTCCTTCTTAAGGCGGATCCGGTCATGGCTAAGGGGTTTGTCTGTTTTCCGGCCAATTCCATCGGCTTTCTGTTTCAGTTGGTGATGGTGCTCGGCGACGGGTTTCAGCGGCTCTCTGGGTTTTCTGATCTTCTCGCGAGTTGTCGACCTCCTCACTTGCTTCCAGATCTTTTTGTTCTGGCTCTCTATTTATCGGGCTTTTGGGTTTGTTTCTCTTCCTCTGTTTGAATTAGTTATTCTCAGTGGATGGAGCTTATGGCTGGAGAATTTCTCCTTATTTAGTTGCGTTCAAGTCTTAGATAGTGTGTGTCTTTTGTTGTTTGGAATTTGGGCGATTATAGGTTGTCCAACGGTTCTTTGAGCGGATCTGGATGCTCTTTCAACCGGGATAATTTGCACAAAAGCAATCAGAGATGGAGACTCATCATTTTCGGAGAAGGCCAATGGTTGTCTACGAGTTCTCGTCATTTGTGTCGCCGCCCGTCTTCATAACTTGAAGCAATGCTGCGATGGTTCCTCATTTGTCATTGTTAAAATCTGTCCTAGGTGTAGGATTGGAAATGTCATTTGTTTCTCTTATGGTTCAAAGTTGCTTTCTCCCTTGATTGTAATTTGTAAATATTCTATTTCAATATTCAACCGATGAAAACAAAAAAATCGTAAAAATACTTTTGAGTTCTTCATTGCACAATTGTATTATCTCAGATTCTCAATTAGTAACTTTCCTTCAATACTTACCACCAGCAAGTGGAAATTAAAAGACCCATAGACAAACAAAAAATACAGAATCTAGTAAAACTAGTACTTAAAATCTAAAATGGTAGAAGGGAAATTATGTATGTAGTGTTTTTTGCAAATAAATCGTCATTTTTTGGAAAATAATGGCTATACACTTATAATATTTTGAAGTGTCATAGAACAGAAAACTAGTGTAATATAATTATGATATATATCGTAGTGAAAAGTTTAATATGTTTATTAAATTGAATAGGAGATATCATAAGCATATACAAGCGTATACGTTTAGAACATAAAATTTGTAGGTAAGTCGACTATTAGAGTGGCTTCAATTTGCTCGAGGGATTTTTTGTTTCGATCAAATGGTTTGTTGATGGATGATTTCAAACATATACAGTACACTAGTTAAGCAGATCACACCAATCAATCAAGTAATCTTTGTATAATTGTTGTTAATTGAAAGTCGTGACTTGTAGGGTTAATAACTACTTTTGCTTTACACTTCCTCTTTTTTAATCAGACTTTAGAAAATGTGTGGTGCATAGTTTAGAAAATTTGTAGTGCATAGTTCCTTATCTAGAAGAAGAGACGTTTGTACGTCACCAAACATCCCAAAAACTCAAGTTGGGAATATGTCCTTTTGCTTAATAAAATAATTAAGTATGTTTTCCCCATCCAGTTTTATAGTATATATTATACATTTTGTCGCTAATCCTCAATTAATTAACTTATAATAAAGTTGGAATATAGACAGAATTACATGTAATAATTATATATTTATGTGGATGTAATCTACACGAGCTTTCTTTTGTGATTGGTCGCCTCTCGCCAACAATTTCTGTTATAGTTGAAATGTATTTAAACAATATAAAAATTAAATGAAAGTTACTAATAAGAAAGAACTGGCCGTTCAAGTACAAAAGTGGAATCCGATTATCCACCGAAATTGCAATTAAATATTGGAGATTTGTTTTAGGAAAAAGCTTGGCATGCTATATTTTATAATTAAAAAAAATTGATATGCCTAGAATAAAGTTTGTGGAGTATTTCATATCCAAGTGGCCTTGCCTCATACGATACTTGCCCTTTAGGCTTTAGTAAAGGAAACAACGAGCGAAATGGATATTGCTTAACAATGTTACATGGTTCAAAATTTTATATGTCTTAGACTCTTAGTTCTGTAATCTTCTTCTAAATTAAATGCCCTTTAGGGATCACTAAATGTACTTTTAACTAGTGAACTCGTAAGTTTGATATGAGAAATCACAAGTTCAAATATTTGTAACCTCGATCAGCACGGTCTAACATCTATCGATTCATTTCCTACTTACATGTTCATCTTTGGCTTGCGGCCAGTTTAATTGGTTTAGTATATGACCAACTTTTCTTGGTTATGATTTGCACTTGTACTAATAATAAATATTCAATCTAGGATATTTGATGTTTGGCTAGTTTCTTACAATTTTTGAGCTCAATTTGTTTTAACCATTCAGATTTTCCAGCGTTTCATTTTATCAATATACGAGAAGTGACGATAAATACAAAACGACGAGCGGTGATTGTCCGTGCAGAATGAAAACGTACCTTCTACTGCTAAAAAAAGTGCGAGTGGAAGCTGACGAAACGTACGTGGGACACAACGAAATTATACAATATTATTTTCTCATGTTAATAGTGATTAATGGAATGATTGCCAATGAACAACATGGCCTTCTTATCGATCCCTTGGTGTTTTAAATTGTTTCTTTTTTCTTGTAAAAATCTTTGATTCTGTTTTAGAAAAGAGGTAAAAACCTTTTCTTTCTTTTTAATTGGTGCTCACTATTTTTTTTCTTTCTAAACAATGCGGAAACTCGCTATACTCATAGCCATACGGGATGGGACCTGTTTTTTTTTTTTTAAAACTATTATTCTCTCAATGACAAGAAATTCCCAATTTTGATTTTGATTTCTGTTTTTGAATAACACTATATTTTTATATGTCTCTCTATCTTGCTTTAAAAAAAAAGCATTTTTTTTTGGATTGCCGAAAAATACTTACCATAAAAATCAAATATGCTGTGGTCTCGCATATCTCTGCCATTAAATCCAGTCCCACGAAACTCATTTTCTTGCTTTGTTATATGATCCATTTTGTTTTCGACCAAAGTTTATGAATTAAACGTTACAAATTTTCCCAAACTATTACGCCAATGTTCCAAAGCTTCCACACCAATGATTTTTCTATAGTATGTTATTTGAACAAATTGTTTGTACCAAAAAAAAAAAAAAACAAATTGAGTTTAAAAAAAAATGCTAGATTCCTAGTTTTCCCTAAAAAACAAAAAATAAAAAAATAAACCAACGTACATTCTTAAGAAGAGGGAAAAAATTGTGGCTGAAAAAAGAAAAGTGGGAAACTATGTAATCAAGTATGTGAGATAAAGATAAAATAACAAAAAGCAAAGATTAGTTAAAGAAAAACTAAGGAAAAAGGTAAACAAAGTTTTTCAATTTAACCGTGGATATTGGATAATTCCACAGTGAAACGAAGAGATACTAAATTCAACTGATAAACATAAAATTAAGCAACATCTGCAGTAGAAATTTGACAGGACTAAAAGTAGAGCTACAACTAAAGTGAATTCGGACATCAAATTACACATAACTGAAATTATTATATGTGTGCTAGATCTATACGTTTGTATGATGAGAGAGTGTAACGAGTTCGTATGTGCATAAAGTAAATGAGACACAAGAGATTTGTTAACGGGGTTCGGTTAACCTACATCCCCGGGACCAAGTCCAGAAACCATTCACTAGAAAAGGCCGCAACCTACAATTGCTATATGGTATCCACCACTCTTTTCTAGAATTACAATGAAAGAAAACTACTACTCCTATTGTCTTTTCCGACGAGTATAGCTTCTCAACAAAACCATCAAAAGATCTCTCTATCTTGTTGATGGGGCAACGTCATAAACATGTGTGCCTCTCTCGATAAACCCTAGACGCGCAAGTCTTCATGTTGCCGTCTCTTGGTATTTATATCAAGTGCCAATAACCCTAGAAGACTTAAGCCACACTTCAAGTCTCTACAAGCAATTGGGCTTAACTTGAACAATGGCCCACGACCCACGTGGCCTTCTTTGCTTTCACGCTAGAAAGACTCAATCTCGATCTTGTTCCAACAGCTTCAATAGTGTTCCAACAATATCTGCACTTTCAATCTCTCCCTTTTTGACTGAGTTTTACAGCTCAAGCTCTCCATGTTAAGAACGCATAACCTTCAATAATAATGATATAAAACCTCTCCCTTAATCATATATCATCGTATCTGTTCACGGAACTTTCTCAATCTCCCCCTGCTTGAGTGATAAAATTCTGTTAAAACATTTCAGTGCAGAACTTCTTATTTATGGATTTCTTTCTCCCAAAACTTCTTATTGCACAATAACCTCCAAATCAAGATTATCCACGTCTGATGTAGAGAAACCAACCTTTGCTCTCTAACTTTTTTTTTGTTCCATCCATAATGCTTAGTCTTATCAGCAGTATGAGCTTTCTCTTCAACTGCAAATTTCTCCTCTTCTTAATTGACAACCAAAGTCAACACCCATTAAGTCGTTACGTCTTCGTCAACAGATGGGCCAACATAAAAATCCCACGAGGATATCCATTCTCAAACCAAACATGCATTGGTCTAAAATTAACAAACCAAGCTCCATTAAGGAAATCGTTCATATAAGCAGCTACATGGCGGATGACACTCCCCCTACACCATTGCATCACATTCTCCCCCTGAGTTTGACAGCTCAATCATACATAACCAGCATACATAAAAATCTCCCCCTGATTGAGTTGATAAAACTCTGTGAATATGTTCTTCCTTTCTTCTCTGGAATAGGTTCTTTCTTTGCAGATACATACTGCAGATAATCTTATTTGGCTTGAACATTATTCTCACGAAATCCTTATTCCAATCCTGACCATAGAATCATATCCTTCACCAAAACTCACAACAGAAATTTGTTCGCTCAAAAGCATCGACATGACTTCTAATCTGCTCCACCGAAACTGACATTGCAAGCCTTCTTCTTCAGAATTAATCCAAGAGATCTGATCATGTCACAAATTTAGACAAACTTGAACACACCTAGTCGTTGTCTCCAAATGCAGCTTGTTGTCACATTCACAACTTCACAAAGCTTCTTAGTTAGCTCATTCAACCATATAATTGTTATCTACAATAACTTCTCTTGTACAAATGAGACCATCCGCAATATAACCCATCTAAAATTGAGGGTTATTACTCTCTTTGAATCATTCTCCTTGGTCAAAAGGCTTGTCACACATGCAGACAATTTTTGTCTCACTATGAATAACTATGTTATAGCACAAGGAAGTCACAAATCTACAGACCGCTTCTTGAATTACTTGCAGTAAACTTGAACCAAACGACACTCCATCAAGGTACCAAACCTGCTACACATGCTTTCGACACAAATCCAAGCTTCCTGTTTTAAACAAAGCGTTTAAGACAATCTTAGACCTTTCAGCTAGCTCACCCAACTGATCTAGTGACGTTCATGAGGCTTCTCTTTTAACAGCTTTAACTGAT